TTTTATGAAAGGGTCTATTTAGAGAATTGCGTCACTTTTCAATTGTGGCTCGTGTTGTGTCATTTGTCACAGAGTGAAAGGCTATGGTTGCCAATCAAGGCAGGTGGGGGGAAAAAAGAGATACATGTATCACCATGAAAAGTGGCGCAAGTCTCTAAATAGACCCTTTCGTTAAATTGGTCACTGCTCAGTCAACCGTGAATGTAAGGACATGATCAGGGTGTCATTTTAAAGAGGAGATTCAACACTAACAGAGGATATCTCCCTTTGATTCACATGTGCCCTACTTCTGTTCCAATTAGCAATAATATCTCGGTTTCGTTTTTTTTTTTTTTTAATCCACCCTGTAGTGTCCCCTAAGTACGTGGCGCACTTTGACGTTTCCTTGACTGTCCTCATGCACTGTTGCCAAACCTCTTTGTTGACAAGCTTCAAATTCATTCAGTTAAATACTGACACTATAACCTCGATAATGCTTGCTGCTGAATCCTTGTGGACAATTTTAGTGTCAAGAAATTTAGTCTGAAATTCAAAAATGGTGGCGTCCGGAAATTTGGGCACAAAATCGGCCGAGTATTCCTAATAACGTCATGCACTTTAACAAATCTCACAAATTACCAAGTGAACATTTAACATTTCTTTAAAGTTAACAAACTCTGAAAAACATTTTGTCCACTCACCTATCCAACTGCATAACATTTTCAGGGTTTTTTATTATTGGCATGTCACATCATGCTGTATATCAATACCATTGACCAAAGATGATGTACTGGTACAACAACGCTTTCTCCCTGAAATTTAGGAAACTTAAAACAATTTCTATAACTCAGGGTCTGTGATAAAATTCATATCTTTGTGTGTTGCCTTGACTGGAATCTGTATTTTACTTATTTGCACAGATACAGTTCAAAATTTCTCATCAAATTTTCAAAAATTAGTCGATGCTCTTTAGAAACATTCCAGTTGTTTCTTTTAAACACTTTCTCCTTAATAGCACTTCAAATGATCAGCTTATTTGTAGCAAATTTTGGGTGGTCACTTACATGTAGTAAGTAGTGGTAATTTGTAAATCAGAGGTAAATAGTCTTCATGTTTATGCTGTCAACATGGTCAAGCACTACTGTCTCTGACTTTTCCAAAAAGGGACCTCATTCCAAACATTAAAAGCCCCTCTTTTAATTTTATTTTGGAAAAACGCACATTTTTCCCCTGTCCCTGCTGCATTTGACATCTACAATTTATAGTTCTGATGCACTCCTTAATTAATGCAGTCATCCTCCAACTTCCAAGGGTGATTATGAATAGCAAACTACCTACACGTACCCAACAATCAAAAAATTGTTTGAAGTCATTCTTCAAACAAATAATTCTTCAAACAAAGAATGAATTCGATGGCAAATTACAAAGTACCAAGGTAACAGGGACAGGAAAAATGTCATACTGAGGTTTCTAAGTTTTTTAAATAACAGTTGTGTTGAAATTTGTCAAAGTTGGAAAAATGAGTAGAACGGTTGTCAGGGCTGTTAGTCACTGCGTTATGACTGATTTGTGCATTTGCAAAATTAGGAGCCTGATCATGTCAGATGTCGGCTCCGCTAACGAGATAAAACTAATGTGAGTCATTCAACGCTCAATCCTGGCTTCCATTCACGCCATTAAGATTGATTTACGTACATTAAGCCTTCGGGAATTCTGTCCATTGAGGTCACATAATTATTCCAATATGTCGGATCGTTTGTATTTTACATGAATTAGGCAAATGTGCTGATTTGACAGAATGCACTTAAAATGCATGCAGTCTGGCCTACTGGCTTTGTTGATGAATAGTTGGATTGAGTTGTTGTTTGTGTTCTTACGAAAACAGAAGTGTCAGGATACAGATAAAGGCCAAAAATAGGACAATACCGGTACAGGCGCTGTAGATCCTAAACGCGGTGCCCAGATGTGCTGTATTCTCGTAAAATCTCTTAGTTTTTCGAGGTCAACTTACACTCTACATGTAGTAAACCGAGATTCGTCATTTCTGCCATTTTCATTTTTGACATTGAAACAACAGACAACATGTCACGCCCCACCACCCTGGGTTGGTCACAAAAACAATTGCCAAATCGATAGTTGTTTCTTCAAGTATTGTATTAATACCACATCAATGTACTTGTACCTTGTACATATCCTATCTACAAGTTGCTTAGTACGTGTATGTATTTAATGTTAATGATTTTCAACAAAATCATTAGAAAAACCCATTAAACTACATGTAAGTGATGATGATTGATTGGATCAGTCCCAACGCTGTGATCCCTTAAATATTTGATAATGTTGGGGTTGGGGGGAGGGGGTGGGGTATGGAAAATATAGCTTTTTATCCAAGCGCCTGTTTTGAGCTGTTCCATGGCCCGAAAATGCTAATCGAAATTTAATAAATTATGATGTTCAAATATTGATGGCTTCAAAAAGTCCGGGTGCATGTTTTGAGTCATTGCTAAGGCCAAAGAAAAAAAATGTTATGTTTAAGGTAACCTGACCTACATGCACCTGGATTTGTTTGTGGCCATATTGTCAACCTCAAACATTTTTGACAAGTTCTTCTCAGAACTAATATCTTCTAAGCAGTAGTTATTACCACATGGTGTTACCGCAAACCGAAACGATACTCAAACATTTTTATCACCACATTTGGCCAAAATATCAAATAAAGTATTTGGAATTTCCCTAGATGCAATTTGTATGTGTGTAAAAGGTAAGGTAAAGGTCCCATAGCCATTACTGGCCGTAGGGGCAGTGGGATGTTAGAGGTCCACTGTGTCTTGGGCGCGGCATATGAGTGGCGGGGCCCAGTCCTCTCCTCTCGCCGTCTTACCTTCCCTGAACGAATCAGGTAGGCCTACCCATTTTACTGTTGGGTCGTCAGAGAGAGTTTTCCAGTTTTTGGTTCGAATGGGATTCGAACCGCCAACCTTCCACTCCGTAGCTCCACGCTCTAACCGCTCGGCTACGAGGCCCCTCTGTGTGTGTGTGTGTGTGCTATTGGTTAATTAGACAATTAAACAGGTTAATTAAGCACACTATTGTTAAAGGTACATGTATCTTAAGGCTATTATTATTATTATTATTATTATTATTATTATTATTAATCATTTCTGGTAATGAAACCAAGGATTCCTCAAAAGCGCCCTAGGCACTGTAGCTCGCAAGCCTGAAGAAACCTGTGGAGAGAAGACAATGAGAAGAAGTTACAGTTTTAGAGGTGGGAGTAAAAGCACAGAAGAATATTCTGAAAAAAACCCACGGAATTAGGCAGGGACTGAAAACCCAATCCACATATTGGCCCAGGCGGGATTTGAACCCAGGTCACAGTGGTGGAAGGCGAGGAAAGTACCGCTACGCCAACCTGACTTTATTAAAGTAAACAAAGAATATGTGTAACTTTAAAAGACCGAAAGACAAACATTAAGTTCATGTACATGTACTTGGATAATTTTGAAATCGTTACCGTGAAAACAATTTTTTTGTTTGGCCTAACCAAAATTCCTGTGTGATATGCCGTGTGTACATTTCCCCTATCATTCACTAATTTAATCTACTTTTTCAAGCCTGCAGTTTCCGGAAATTTGTCATTCCTTCCTTTTGTTAATCATTGTAAGTGATAAGCAATGGCGATATGTGCCTATACATCACTTTGTGTACTTTTTATTTGACAGACTTTTAATTACACGACGGTGAAAACATACTGTTGATTAAAAATTGACCTTATGAAATGTATAGCATTTTGTGTACTTACACGTAACACGTACATGTACTTACATGCAATACACGTATTACAAGTTATACACGTACAGACATGTACAGACACATGACTCAGCAAAGCATATCCAGGTTTTTATTTGAGACCTAAGTACAGCATTGAATTGATGTCTGAACCATTTTATATTAACAATGAATTGAAGAATGCTTCTATTTTTCACTGAGAAAAATGTTGCATTCTAAAGAAAAAGGTTAATTTGCATTGTACTATGTAAATTGTACAGTACATGTACCGGTATGCATTGTGGAGTGCGTGCTTGCACACGTATTTCAGTTTACAGTTTCTTCATGTACATGTACTGTACATGTATGTTTGGGTTGTGTACGTTTGCACACACTCTACATGTAGTATGTTGCGCAAAGTGCATGTAGCTCTAATTGGGGGGGGGGATTTTTTTTTTTTTTTTTTAGCAGACAGAATTTATGATTGCCCTTTCTGATCAAAATAATGGAGCATTGGAAGAGCAGCCCTTTTGTACCAAAGAGATGAAATATAGAGAAATGTTCTTTACAAGTTGGTCTACAACAAGAAGAAACTAAGGACACAAAGAGTACATGTATATAAGCATTTTTTATATTCATCCTAGTTTGGACATTTCTCGGTAAACAAAAAATCTCAAATATACGTTTTGTCACAAAAATTTCCAGTTCAATTTGCTACCTCACTTGGGAACACTGTGTAAGAAATGACGAGAGCGCAAGCGCTGAAGCTCCTGAAACCTCAAAAGTAAAAGTTGCACTTAGCGAGATTTTCAATGGGCAATGCAACACACAATTGAATGCAAAAATGATGCAGGCCTCGTATTCAATTGTGTGTTGCAAACAAGAATGATTTTAAAAACTGCCTAATTTCTTTTTGTGACAGGTGTTTATATGTCACACCTAAGGTACGATGTAGAGCTATTTTATTTTTATCAAAAGGATGTTGCTTGAAACGGAAGTCAGGATTATGTCACACAAAAGTGGAATTATTTGAAAGGGAAAACCATTGCCTATACTTGAAAAAAAACCGAGACCGTTGCGGACCACAGTAAAATCCATTTCAGGGATCGCACTTCACGCATTGAATCTTTTATGAGATATCCTTTGCTTATTGAAATATTGAACACTTCACTTCGAGTGCATCTCGCATTGCTGTTTATAATTTGATATTTTTATTTTTGTCTTTCAATTTCTGTCTCTCTCTCGCTCTGCAGATGTTCCAAGATTGTTCCCGGAGATTGTACCACTGCCGGAAAGCACTGTACGCCTACTCTCCTAAAGTGTGGCTATCGTGAATCTTATGGGAATTTGTGTAGTACTCTGCACTGATTAAGGAATGGAGCCAGTTTCTTTTAATGGCTATGTCAGCTGGCTTGTGAAGACTGATGAGCACGACAGATTTCAGCCGTAGCCCTTAACACGCAGCTGTTGAGCTCTGAGACATATGTCTCAAGGCTTTGGAAGTACATCAGTTTGATTTTAAGACGGAATCTCAAAGCCTGATTGACCATTCCAGTGGATTGACATTTTTCTGTCGGAATTTCTGCCATTTTTCCAATCTAAACGAACTGTTGGACATAATCTAATTACATTGGTTCAACTGGTCTTTCCTGGATGGAAGCCAAACAATTTTCAGCAGCCAAAAATTGTCCGCCCAAGTACAAGAAAAAAGCCTGTTGTAATTGCTGAACCCAACGAACCAGACGAGCCGTGGTTGTTTTCGGTGCATTTCCACAGCGCTTGAATGTATTTTCAGTTATCAGGCTTAATCGGACTGAAGGCGCACCGATTCAAGAAAAGCAGAAGCATGGATGAGTGCGAGCGACAGACCCTTGCCGTGTCTTCACTCGGGCGCGCGTGCGGGAACACTTAATGGATTTGTGTGTGGGTATTTCTTGAAAATTCTACGTCATCGACACAAAGTGCATGAAGCGCAGCAATTAAGTTGCAACAGGAACACTCGTGTTGCATCACCGGTAACCTCGTCTTTGTCGCGCCAACAATGAAGCAAGTGGGGCTGTTGTCGGCCGGCTGCCAGCCGTGGAACAGCGATGTGGTGGCTACCAGCGGAGACCGGTTTGCCTATTGTGCGACGCTGGCAATTTATGTGTACCAGGTGGGTAAACATGGTAAACAGTGTGCAATAAGACGGCAAAAGAACACGGTTGCCATAGGCCTAAGGTTTGCAAAATGCTATCCTTTAATTATAATACATTACTACATTTACCTACATTACTACATTTACCTACATGTATGTAGCATTAAACAAACAAAACTCGCTTTCTTAAAAACAGAATGATGTTTATAAAAAAAAACAATTTGAAAGTATGACACGGCACTAAGATTTCCACCAAAATGTTTAAGTCCAACCAAGGAGCTATTTTGAATATGCGTTCTGCGTTGTTTTTTTTTTTTTTTTTAATTTTACCTCGAAAAATAGATTTGTTTTTTTTTACATTTGCTATTATTCACTGAGACTTGGAACAAAAGAATCCACTGACATTTATTTATTGAATTATATCTTCCCAAAAATCAAATTATTGGCTGCCAGACAAGAAACATTGGCTCTCGCAGGGCGGGTTTATTTTTATGAAAGCCCCTTTTCAGATGTTTGCTGACGCCCAAATGGGAATAAAGCATTTTTTAACACACAAATTGGAAATTCATTAGGAGAAAACAATACCCTTTATTCTTTAAGTATCAAGGAATATAGTTAAGGTTGGAAGTATGTACATGTACTATACGTGCATCAGACGTTTACCAACATGTTCCTTATTTGTTCAAAATAACAGATTCGCTCTATCAAATTGTGCATTGTACGTGTGCTGCTACAAATTATAATTAGCTTTGCTGTTTGATTACGTGTATGTCCAAGCACTTTTTGTGTCCAATTTCAAACTCAGGAGAACACTGTACAAGTAGCTCTTTATTACTTGTGAACAATAATTACTTTTAGCTTGCAACGTACAGTACTTTGAACTCTCTTGAAGCGGGCATACATAGCACTGACTGAAGTGGGAACAAACTTCAATAGCAAACAGGAACAAAGTCTGATGCACATCGAACCTACATGTACTCAATTCCACAAAAAAGATTGTTAAAGCTGTGCTTAAAAGTCATGAAATCAAGTCTGATTTGTTAAGGGGATTCAACATGTGCTTGGGGAGATTCTTCAGAAATTGAACCTAATTAATTTTTTGGGGGAAAAAAGTCTTTTATGTGATGTACAAATGATTATTGTTCACTAAAGTGTTGCTAAAGATGCAGATTCCTTAAGAAGTTTCATAAGTTGGTCTCTCCGTGCATAAACTAGCATAATGTAAATTACAAATGTCACACACGTGACCGATCAAAACGTCACACACGTGACCGATCAAAATGTCACACACGTGACCGATCAAAATGTCACACACGTTACCACAGAACAATACCCATTTACATGTAGTAAAACTAAAGCAGAGGGTGTACATTGCTAATGCATTCTGTAAATCACAAAAGAGTAGTCTTACATGTACTCCAAAGTAGAACTTTCCGGTGTGGGCCGGATAACAGTTTTACGTCTGATGTCACACACATGATCAGACTTTGATGACCCCTCCTTATATTTTGACACAATTTGTGAAAGTAAAAACTATACTCTGAGGTAGGGAGTAAAAAGTACTAACATGATGAATCTGTGAAAGTAATATTTCAGATGTAGTAAACTAGGGGTAAAGCTTTTAAAAATCAGGCAAGCCCAAGTTTACATCACACAGTGACCAAAGAATAATAATAATAATAACAGGTTCTTATATAGCGCTTTTAACTAAGATCAAAGCGCTTTACATTATTATTACCCCTAATCATTGGGCCAATTAAACATTCCATATACCAATTCAGCTCCCTGGGCACTGGGGAGTATACAGCTCGATGCAGCCTGTTAGGCGCAAGGAAGCTAATTCAATCGCAATAACCATCACTGCCCTCATAGGTACCCATTTACTCCTGGGTGGAGAGAAGCAATGAGTGACAAAGTGCCTTGCTCAAGGGCACACAAACCATGACCCCGCCAGGACTCGAACCCATGGCCTGCAGCTTTACCCACAGACCACCAATCAGTGCCCTTAACCACGAGGCCACAGCACTCCACAGCATGGCCCAAAGAATGGCCCACGGCCAGTTTTACAACAAGTACATGTACGTTTAAAACCGGCTAGGGGCCTGGACGCAGATAATGGCCGGAGCCAATGGCAAGGGACATTGACATTATCTACCACAACGCTCCTAGCCGGTTTTAAACGTCCTTGTTTAAAACTGACCAAGCACATATATTTATTCCCATTTATGAATACCTTTTTCGGTCAAAAAGTCAAAATAAGTTCAACGCATTTTCTTCATGAGGGGTTCCGGTACATTATCCACCACAATGCTCCTAGCCGGTTTTAAACGTCCTTGTTTAAAACTGACCAAGCGCATACATGTATTTATTCCCATTTATAAATACCTTTTTCGGTCAAAAAGTCAAACTAAGTCTTAACACATTTGCTTCATGTTTTTGTGAAACACCCTTCTGGTCATGTCTATGGTACTGTATGTGCCTCGCACGCGCAGTGCTAAAAGTCTCCTGGGCGATGTGGAGCAGAACACAGCGGTGCTTTACCAGCGGTTTAAAACCACCCCCGGGCTCTCGACCAATAGCAATGGGTAAACTCTCTTAGGTACAGTATTTATGAATGGTTAATGATGATGGAATGCAGTAATGTCATGCACATAATGTACAGGTATGGTACTTATATATGCAATGACATAGGTGGAAAAGTATTTTTGTTTCAGCTATACGCATTCTTCTCACACAATACACTTGGGAATTAGTTGTAAACACGTGGACATAACATGTATTAGACACAATTTACATGCATATGAGACGTACTGTAAAGTACCGGTACACATACATACATGTACATAGATTGTGGCTTTGTGAGTGCAAAAAAAATCCTGTTTGTTCTTATCATCAGACCTTGTATTTGATTCCCAGGTGTGCCCACATCTATTGTTGGACAGATTTATTCTCCCGAGAATTGGGGTCAGGGACAATCGTTGCCTACCCTGCCACAAAATGTGTGGTTGCTAGGACACGCCAAACATACAGGGGATGCGTGTTCAATAACATCATACACAAATATGAACAGCCGACTATGTACATGTACTGGCGTATTGTATGAAATTTATTGATCACTGTGTACGATCAAGGCCAATAGTATAGCGGGCTTGTGTTTGAAGGGTTTTCTGTGAGGGCAAACAAGCTTGAGTGAACCATGGAAACGGGGTTGATGGGAAATTGATGTTGTACACGTAACAATTGTTCAGTACATGTACATGTACCTCCCCCTAGGATCTAGGGGTTATATTCTTGTTCGTTTTCTGTACAGTCTGCTGGCAATGTTTACGATTGTACAGTGTACATAACTAGGTACTTCACAATAATCTACATGTACCTTTGCCAACATAAGTACATTTGTCTGGAAAAAAAATTGACATCTCAGTTTGAATCTCAAAAGAGGTGCTCTATTTCAGTGGCGCACCCAGGATTTGTTATGGGGGGGGGGGGGCACATATATTTTTTCCAATTTTTTTAGTTTGAAGTTTTTCAAAAAATGTTGCCGAAAATTTGTGGCCGCAGAAAATAATTTGTGTGTGTGTGTTTGTTTGGGGGGGGGGGGGAACAGACTATTTTAACGATGGCGGCACCATTTACACCCTTTTTTACTACTTGAAAATAGGCCACATACCTCTCCACGGTCAAATCGTGGGACCACAAAAAAAATTGACCCCCCAAAAAAACTGATAACCTCTGGGGGTCCTCAAGCCCTCCCACCCCCCCCCCCTCACCCCCACCCTTTGGTGGGCCACTGCTCTATTTTAAAATTCCCATCATCAAATTCCCTCAGTGATTTGGAAACTTCGTCAGAACTCTTTGCCTGCACACATTCTAGAGCACACGGAATTGATGTATTGTAAAGTCATGGTAATGTGCGTCAAGATACAATGTACGGTACGTACATCTGTACATGTACAGGCACATGAAACAATACGAAGTATTGACTTGTGGCACACTGTTCAACAAAATGTGATTATTAACAAAAAGATTGAACATAATTTGTTTTTCCATTTTCTAAAATTGGGAATTTTATTAAAGTTGTATCAAATATTTTAATAAGTTGTTAATGACATTTGAATATTCTAGTCCATGAAAACCAAGGTCTTAATATGAAATAGACTTAGCTTTTAGCACATTAAAAATAAACATGTAGTGCAAAGTTTAACATTAAGAATTATTGACTATAAACCGTTCATCAAAATGAGATTGTTTTTTAAAACAAAATGAATAGTTCTTTTTCCATTGCCTGAAATTCGGAATGCTAATTTGTATCCAATTTGTTACTAATTTGTTTACGACATTTGGATGTTGTAGTCCATGAAATCCAAGGTCTTTTATGAAATAGACTTGGCTTTTAGCACAATGACAAATTATGAGAAAAAAAGCACGCAACCCTTTAATTTCAGGAAATCCTATTTGCTTGAATGATCGGTCAGATTTAATTTAATACTCGGGCCCTGTGATGCGCGAGCCTGCAGTTGAAATGAGAGGCTGCACTATCGTAGGCGGCATGAAGCCTGCAGTTTCGTGCGTGTGCTCTGTGGAACAAGTGCTTCATTTATCAGCGTCTTATCTCGAAAATCCTTCATTTTTTTTTTTCATTTTTTTTTCTCTCCTTGCACAAAGAAGATACAAGGGCTAATGGTGCACGTACGTAGATGCAAGAAAAATATATTTAATTTTAACCAAAAACACTGAAATTAAAATATTTTATTGGCAAGATAATGCGTATTTTTGTTTATACAAAAATACTTGAACTTAATTGATCTACATGTACCATAAACATACCAGTATGTGTACGTACATTTTGTATTTTTAGTATTTCATTAAAAATAAGAAAATCGTTTGTACAATTTCATGAGGCATTTGGGCTTAAAGATATCATTGTCAGCTGTGCATTTTTTTGGTTTCAAGCAAGTGCTCAAAGCTTAAGAAGAGTACTCAACAGCTAACTAGTTTTAGCTCAGTGAATGCTGTGTATTCTGAGTAAACAATATTCTAGGATCTCGATTTCAATTGAAAAGTTGCCTAGTCATGTTTTGAATTGCGCCCGAATTCAGCGTCCGGGACACGTTCTCATTCTGCTGATTGCAGCTACGCGATGTCACACGCTGAACTGACGAATAATAGCAACAACGTGCATGTGCATCGTGTCAATGCTTGCGCACAACCATTCACGGCTTCGCCAAATTAAACGTGAACTACCAGCACTAAAGGAAATTTCCAAATGCGTCTTAATTGACGCGGCTTTGGAAATGGCCTTCTTTTAGTGTTTTCTTCAAAATGACAGCATGCCAGAAAGAATAATTTCACAGGGAGTTTAGTGCCATTACTATCTTTAAACCAAGTGTGCTTTTCAGCAATAATTTCATCAGTTACTTTTTGGATGGCTGCAAATGATATACTCTACCTTTATTTCACACGAATACCTAAAGACGGATCTTCCCTGCAATTCTTTCGACTGACCAAAGCCCAATCTGTTTGCCAATTCCAAAGCAAGCTTGCATTTCAAAGGTGAGCAAATCATTTTCTCGAGTGTCTATTTGTTCGTCAAGCAAACACCTAGAGCTTTTACGTCAGAAGAGCGAACGATGTGGCAGTCAGTGTCAAGTTGTGGCTCAGGAATGTACCGGTACACTTGAAAAAAAAAACACAAAAATTTTACGTTTATGAAGATTAAAATGAAAATGCATTAACACACAATCACTTTTTATTATGTTAAGGACAATAAGTGTTTTTAATACATACCCGTACATGAAGATTCACTTGTACATGTTAAATATTGTTTGTCAAAAAGTTAATCAAAACATAGAAGTACACGTACATACAAATTTTGCTGGAAAGGGGCTTAAAAAATATTGGTATGTTCGTGTATGTAAGTGTACAGTTTTGTTCACATTTCTCACACATGAATAAATTAAAGTGCGCCTACATGCAACATTAATTAATGTCAAAGCCCCCCCCCCCCTATTAAATTTTGCTTGTCCGGTAGACAAATTTCAAGAATTTTCCTGACAAAACCCCTGACATGCTGAAAGAATTTCTTGCTGTGCTACTGATTAGGCTAACAGAAAAAGAGCACTTCTGCTTCCAATTACTTGCCTTTCAAAAATAGGGTCGTTAGGTCTGGGTTTTTTGTGTTTATTTTGCAAAAAACTAATTAGGGGGATTAAATAGAGTATTGACACATGTGTATTTTTGGCCCGAGTTATTTTCATTTGTGACACGAAATCTATCAAAACTGGCCCTCAAAAACAATTTAAAAAACATGCCTTGATTAAAGGGAAACAGTAATGAAGGTTGTCGATTCGTAAAAATAATGGAAGCAGAAGGATTCTATTTTTATTATTTCGACATTGTCTCGTCACTGTGGCAATCTTCTGGGATCAGTCTCTATCTTGTGCTTCAGGCAGTGATTAGATGTAATCAAACAACCAACTCTTTCTTTTTTCCCTTTTTTTTGCCTTCGCAAATTTTAAGCATAAGTACTAGCCTTGGTCAGGGCGTTCGTCAATTCTGGCTTATGGTTTTTCTTTATTTTTATCTGGGTTTCCAGCCACGGACTCGTATGCAAATTATACATATGAGATTAATTCAGTACTTGATCATGGACGCTCATATCGTCGTGTCCGTGCAACAAGATCGTATCTCCTAAAATGGGCTGTACAAGAAACGCGAGTTTCAGAATGTCAAAAGGTCATATCTCACTTAAAATAATGTGGATGTACACACAAAGTCAATGGACCTTGTTGCACTGACACGACAATATTTTTACATGGATAGAGAGCCTGATAGTGTGGCTACATTTACATTCAAAACACTGGAAATAATCCAGGGACAAAATAAAGCAAAAAGATTCTGGAAATCCAGATAAAAATAAAGAAAAACCATAACGAGACCCTTGTCCGAAGACGTCCGGTTGGCACCAACTGATATGCATATTATAGTTTATACCTGAGCCGTGTGAGGTCGCTGTTAGCTCTTAGTACAGTGAGTGCATAGCGCCCAGCTCGTGTTTATGTTAGCTTCAAATATGCTTCAAATGTTTCTTTGTCTACATAATTTGATGGATTTTAATGACTTGGATGGAGTGATCCTTGGGTGTGCGTTCAGCACAACTCTCCCGAAATCGGAGGTCAAAGTTCATCCAGGGGTCATTTGAGGTCGTTTAAAAATGTACAGAATTTGCCTTTTTTTAAGAACACAAAACATATAGGGACCGCGGAAAAAGGCAACACACACGATAAACGTATCACTTGTGGACAAGTGCAGGTGCACGCAAATCCCAATTGGTGGCCAGTGTAGGCTGGTGCATGTTTAACTTGATCAGTGCATTGTGACATTGAATATTCAAATACTCGATCAAGTCCAAGTTGGAATAATCGAATAGTAAATTATTCATAAATGCACTGCCCTAGCAATCTTGAAAAAATTAATGCTAATGCTGACTGACTGACTGAGTTGCGGAGTATGTAAGTATAAATAATGTCTTCAATAAACTAAGACTTTAGGTCTAGCTCAACTTGGTTACCCAAGTCTTGGTAATAATGTAGCACTTTATACCGGTGTTTCGAAGCACTCTGTAATTGACGTTATTCCTTCTTGTCCTTAGCTGGACCGTAATCTCAACGAGTTCAAGCTCCACGCCATCATGTCCGAGCACAAGAAGACGGTCACGGCCATCCGGTGGCACCCCCGCAGACCCGACCTCTTCGCCAGCGCGGGCTGCGACAATCGCCTCTACCTGTGGGACGTGGCGCAAGAGTGCACGGTAGCCATGGTGGAGTACGCAAAATGCGCGCCAAAGTGCATAGACTGGTGCCTGCTAGAGCAGGACTCATTGACTTTCATCCATGGCCGGGGGCCTCTCATGTTGTGGCCGTTCAGCCGGGGAGGGGAGCTGTCCCCGCACCGCGAGGCTCAGGGGTTCGCCTCGGACGTCTGCAAGTTCCGCTGGCACCACAGGGGCATCGGGAAGGCCGTGTTTGGCCACGCGGACGGGAGCTTGTCATTTCTCAATGCTGGTGAGAAGACAAGCATGTGTAGTCATTTCAAAGAGTGATGTCTCAGAGTGCATTTTGTTACTGATGCTTAAGTTTTTGGCTTGATAATGTACATTCTCAATAGTCCAGTAGTAGTTGATGAATTATCAAATAAATCAATTTCAAGTTAGAAGAAATCTCTGTTTAAAATTTGAATTTGAGACCCTAAGTTTGGCTAGGGAAATATTCAGGAACTCTATCCTGCCTTTTGGAGTAGAAGTAATTTTGTTGTCCAAAGAGGGAGTGATAATTTTGGCCTTATTGTATTTGAATATTTTTTTACAATCAATTTCCCAACTTGGTGATCCAAATGTGTTCAGAGTTAATGAATGAATATGGGTTGTACTCTATCTATTTTTTTTTTTTGTCGATTAACTTATTTATTATATTCTTCAGGTAGTAAATTTTACAAGCATGTCATGAGACCAGAGCCCACCAATGGCTCGGAAGAGGACGATCCCGTGATAGATTTGGAGTGGGACCCCCTGTCAGACGACTACCTCCTGGTGGCCAATAAGCGCCTTGGCGTGCGGATGATCGACGGTGCCTCGCGGACGGCGTTCATGAAGTTTGAGCTGCCTAGTGCCATGGCGACTGTGAAGACGTTAGCGTGGGTGCCTTCTGCACCGGGCATGTTTGTAACAGGAGGTGTGTAGTTTGTTTTAGCCTTAGGCCTAGAGAAAAAAAGATTTCTTGTCTGAAAAAGGCGGCCCCCATGTCTTCTACACTGCACAAGCCTTCACGTTTTGCAAAGCAACTTTTGCCCATAGAGTTAGCACCCAGAGGTAATCTTCTGTGGAATATGGATAACACCTCAAATCCCTGCACAATTATTTTGTGGTGGTTAAGCTCAGGGTAAGCAGGTAGATTCAGTCACGCGTCATTAGCCCTAACCGAACTCAACCCATCAAAGTCCAACAGCAGGTGTTGTTGAAATCTGTTGGGATAGGTACAGTACCCTTAAACTGATGGTCTTTTACACTGGGTTTGGCATACCTCCAGAAACTAAGTCCAACAGTGTGTGTGTACGATTTCCCATGTAGGTGTTGGAATTTGCCTGGATGGGTATGGTTCCTAGTAAATTATGCTGGGGAGTTAGTGTTAATGCTGGTTCACACGCATTGCGAATGAGAACAAGAATTTGTGACGTCGGAGCAAGTTTTCGCGCTGCGAATTCGCAAAAGTTGAACACATTTCAACTCTCGGGAAGTTGCCCAGCGAATGCTTCGTGACGTCAAATTCGCATCGCATTCGCATAATTTGCATGAAGTCTGAACTGGCCTTTACTCTCCGCACCCACAGTGCTGATGTTTGTGCTGTGACTCTCTGTGTGACTTTACTTCAGCACTTCATATCTCTTCGCCCGAAACTGACCTGCGGGGTTTTAACGGGTTTTACACATTGCTCTGAATACTGACTGCCAATTAGAAAGGTTAATAAAATATGTGATGCGATCAAGCTACATGAGTCGTTTGTCGACCCTGGTCAAAAAAAATTTTATTACAGATTTGAAAAGAGCACAATCTCAGTATTACTGCTGTGAAAACCGCATGCTGGTACCATCTTTAGTTCAAAAATTATGGAAGTCGGAACACCAAGAGATGTGATGAAGTGATGTGATGAAGTGGCCCTATTTCGGCCTGTATCTCCAAATGAAAATTCCCAACAAACGACTCATTTGGCTTGATAGCATCACATATGTACTGAACATGTATGACTGTGTATTTCCAATCAGATACCAACTCAGGAGTACTCCGACTATGGAGCGTCTCCAAATCCTCCCCGATCCTCAGTCTCAGTCTCAAGAAGATGGGCTTCCACGCCCTCAAAGTCTTCAGCACTTCCCCTAACATAACCTCCTCCAAGCAATCGGACACGCCCCTCCACAGAGACGTCTCCTCCACCAGCCAGGCATCCCCGCCGCCGAGTGCAAACACCCTGAACTCCTATACGTTACCACCGGGCCACGCGGTCTGCACATTCCTGGACGGGGGTGTCGGGTTGTACGACTTTGGGAAGAGGAGGTGGGACTTTCTCAGGGAGCTGGTAAGAAGACTGTTTTAATTCTGTCTGTTTACTATGAATATCATAGACTTCAATGGGAGGATGTGGTTTAAACCCAAGTAATACTTTTTTTTAAACGAGACAAGCATTGTAGTCAATATGAAATAGTCTTGCACCATTTCGTTAATCGATAATCTCAGAATAAATTTAGAGGAAGGTTAATTTCATCTCAGTGATACCTGGAGGCTCTGTTGTGTGAACAGTCCCATTCAGGCAAGCAGTAGCCGATAAAGTTTCCCCGTTGGATTTCCCTGAGTAAAGTTTCTATTAGGAAAAAAAAAATGCCTGGAAAATTTTCTCCACAGCTTTTTTTTTATTAGTGAGATAAAAAAATGTACAGGGAGCAACGTCTTAAAATGACCTCAAAATAAAGGCCAATGGATAAACAACACAGTTTTGCATTTCAATTTCCTGAAGGGTCACGTAGAGACGATCTTTGATTGCAAGTTCAAGCCAGATGACGCCAATCTGATTGCCACTGCCTCGTTTGACGGAACTATGAAAGTCTGGGACGTCAACACACTCACTGCTGTCCAAACATCACCCGGGAATGAAGGGGTCATCTATTGCTTGTCATGGGCACCAGGTGAGGTCACAGGTCTAGTGAGCAGTGTCAAAGGTCATAAATGCTCAAACAGAAAGTTCTCTTTTTAACAATATTGTCTCTTGTTTTGATAATAAGGCTAACTGCTTAGTAATGGGTATTAGTGTGACACTTTTTAACAGAGATACTTTGTGAAAAGTTATTATCCATCCAACCCATTTCCACCCAACCTAACTCTACACAACACAACCCAACCTAACTCAACCCAATTCACCCAAGTGTGTATTTGCCTGCAATCGTGGACCCCCTATGTCCCTATTTTGTTTGTACCTCAACTTTTTAGGAAGACCTCCCATATGTTTTGTACACGAATCCAAATTGGGGACCTCCTGGGAACTGGGGACCCTATTGTCCTCTATCATTGTTCAATGTCCCCTATTGAATGCAGAAACAAACTCAACATGACCCAACACAACCCAACCCAACCCAACCCAACCCGACCCAACCCAACCCAACCCAAACCAACCCAACCCGACCCGACCCACCCAACCCAACCCAACCCAACCCGACCCGACCCGACCCACCCAACCCAACCCAACCCAACCCAACCCAACCCAACCCAACCCGACCCGACCCGACCCACCCAACCCAACCCAACCCAACCCAACCCGACCTGACCCACCCAACCCAACCCAACCCAACCTAACCCAACCCAACCCAACATGACCCGACCCAACCCACCCCACCCCAACCAAACCCAGCCCGACCCACCAACCCAACCCAACCCACGCAAGTGTGTATTTGCCTGCAATCGGGGACCCCCTATTGTCCCTCTTTTGTTTGTCCTAACTTTTTAGGAAGACCTCCCATATGTTTTGTACAGGATCGGAAATTGGGGACCTCTCGGGAATTGGGGACCCTATTGTCCTTTATTGTTCAGTGTCCCCTACTGAATGCAGAAACAAACTCCAACATGACCCGACCCAACCCAGCCCAACCCAACCCAACCCAACCCAACCCAACCCAACCCAACCCGACCCAACCCAACCCAACATGACCCGACCCAACCCAACCCAACCCAACCCAACCCAACCCGACCCAACCCGACCCAACCCAACCCAACATGACCCGACCCAACCCACCCAACCCAACCCAACCCAACCCGACCCAACCCAACCCAACCCAACATGACCCGACCCAACCCACCCCAACCAAACCCTGTCCGACACACCCAACCCAACCCACGCAAGTGTGTATTTGCCTGCAATCGGGACCCCCTATTGTCCCTCTTTTGTTTGTACTCTAACTTTTTAGGAAGACCTCCGATATGTTTTGTACACAATCCGAATAGGGGACCTCTTGGGAATTGGGGACCCTATTGTCCTCTACTGTTCAACGTCCCCTATTGAATGCAGAAACAAACTCAATCTAACCCAACTCAAACCAAACCAAACCTAACAACCCAACTCAACTCAACCAAACCCCACCCAAAGCCCACCCCTGCTCATTGTGCCCATCAAACATTTCTTGGACCACCTGCAACTCCTGGTATAAAACTCCATGCTGTCATTTTAGCACAAAGAGGTACTGCATAAAAAAGCCTTACCTAAAACAGACATGACTCAAATCCACAATTTACAGAATTAGCCATCGAATCTCAGATTCAGATACCCAGACCACGAGACCATTGGAATATCCAATTAATTGATTAACAGTAGCACATTCTAGGAGATGCTGTTCTTTTTATTTTCTAGCTGATCTGAACTGCATTGTGGCAGCCACGTCTAAGAACGGAGCCTTTATTTGGGACCTGACAAAAGGGCGAATTCTCAAGAGGTTTATGGAGGTTGGTGAATAAGTTCACAAATGTCTACTCATATTATGCTTCTTCTTTCATTTGTCGGGGAGACAGTTCAGATATCAGCTTGCATTTGGGTCAACCACAATTTGGTCTCCTGGTCCAAGTTAGTTAGACCGTCTGCACCATGCGGCGATTTGGTAGATGGGGCAGTCAGATAGAATATGGTCTACAGTTTGGTCTGCAGTCCCACATTCACAGTTGGTACTGTCCGTGAGGCCCCATTTGTTGGCTCTGAAGCGCCCCATGCCTGTTCGAAGGCGGTTTAATCTTGTCCAAGCCTTGCGTGTTAGATCCATTCCACTGATGTTGGTGTGGTCCTGGATGAACTGATGTAGGCGCGTAGTGGATCCTTGCCATGAGTGCTCCCATTTGTCTGCAACCCAGGATGCCGTGTTTGCTTTTGAGAAATCCTGCAGTAGCTCTTTGGCAGAAGATGAGAATGGGTGGCGAGACTGTTTCTATTTACAGTTAAAAATTCTACTGGGGTCTCTCCAAAAAAGGTTCCTGCCATTCTGCCTTTGAAAAAAAATCTATAAATTGTACAGGCATCTTATTTCTCAAAACGTAGGGGTTAATTTGACCCTTTTGGGCATCAAAAGCAGTCTGTTATGTTGTTTTTCCCCTGAATTTTCAGCACGGTAAGAACAGCGTGTTCTCTGTGGCCTGGAACCAGAAGGATCCCAAGAGGATAGCCTCGTGTGGAGGGGACAACTACTGGTAAACCATTCAGTTGAATGTCGATGGGTCTATTTTCCTCATTATTGCACGGTTTTCTTTGGAAAAATGTCTATCGTTTTAACTTTCTCACTTCCTGGTAGACACTCAACTTTAGAGACGTTTCTAGTTCACCATGTGAAGTGATTACCTCTAGAAGAAAATCATTATGATAAGAATTGAGTTCCAGGATATCAGAGTATACTGAGGATTATAGCAGAGTTTACATTCTTTACCACTTCTAGTTTGTTCTTAGAACCATGTAACCTACAGTAAACTCCGGCTAAACCGGCACTCTCGGGACCCGAGAATTTGTGACGACTTACGCGAATGCCGATATATGCTATAAGTCGTCATTTTGCCGACTTATATGAATGGTCTTTTTGCACACATGATTCATTGCACTAATTGGCTTCGATTTAACCTGGATTATCTCCTTAATGCTTGAGTTGAATCCAGCAAATTAATCCTCAAATTGCATCATCACGTTCGGAGTATTGATAGTGGAGACCACAATACATGTGTACGTGCACAGTAACGAATTAAATGCATACGTGGTCTGGTATATACCACGCACGCATTGTCTGCAGCACTAGTCATTCAATAAGACGACCCCCAAAATTAATAGAGCGCATGCGTACAGCCTAGAGGGGGTACTTGTACTGATATGCTCACGATGCACATATTATGCGATGTATGCAGCAAAGATCCGTAATAGCGCCCCGTAGTGGTATACAGTAGGACACCCTTTTTCAACACTGATGCATGCAGCGATCACGGGCCGTGCGAAACCACTTTTTACTCGACACTTTGCCAACCGCAGTACAGGAAGTCGATGCCAATGCATGATTTGTTGAATGCCGACTAATACACAAAGGATTTTGTAACGCTTTTTATGGAAAGGGGACCGAGAGTAACACGACGACTTGAGCGAAATGGCGACTTATAAAAGCCGACTTAGAAATAAAAAATCAACGGAAATGCATTACGGACAATCCGAACTTTAGTCAGATGGCCGACTTGAGCGATTTGACGAGTTGTACGATGTCGGTTTAGCCAGAATTTACTGTATTGGATGATAGATCTGCATGCGAACTAGCGAGGCACTATTGTGCTCTCACTTCTAGACTGGTTTCAAGTTTCAATTTTTTTTCACACTATGCCAAATGCTGGTACAAAATCAAAGTAAAAGCAGCAGAACTAAGAATTATAGTCTGGGCCTTATGCACGAGTCGGTATATTGAATTGAAAGTGAGGTAAAATCTTAGTTTTTTGGAACTTGTGAAGAGAAATGAAAGCAAGATAATTCCTAATTAATTCCAGTCTGCTTCAATGAATAATTTCAAATTTGTAATTAAAATTTCCTAATGTTTAAAGCCAGATAAAAAAAAAAAAGACAGTAAAATAAGGCTGCATTGTGCCTGCATAATAAAATAGTCTGGCGCCATCCCATTGAACTCGACAAAAATGGCCAACTCAAGAATAAGGCCCCATGGGGGCAGACAACAAGACTCATAAATTTTACACCGTCCTTTTCATGTCTTAGAAAATAATGCAAGGATGAAAGAAGTACTCTTGAGACTCATCTCGTGAAACGCAGTCCCGTAAGCCGTTTGTTATTTGAAAATTGTATTGTTCTATTCCTAGTATCGTTCGAGAAGCAGACGGCAAGTTGCTACAGAAGTACAAACACCCTGCCTCGGTCTTTGGCTGTGACTGGAGCCCCAATAACAAGTAAGTCCAGCACTTCATTGCAAAAAGTCTTTTGTGAATTAGTTTCTGGTTATTCTCATTTTCTCATTTGTCAGTAATGTGCTTAATTAGGGGCAAATTTCGTAGAATTATTAAACATCAATTAATTTGAAATTTTTTTCAGGGATATGATTGCCACAGGGTGCGAGGATGGCAAAGTCCGAGTCTTCTACATCGCCACGGCAACCGATCAACCATTAAAGGCATTTCTGGGCCACACTGCAAAAGTCTTCAACGTGAAATGGTCCCCACTTCGAGAGGGCATTCTTTGCAGTGGGTCGGATGATGGGTAAGAATTTTTATCTTTCTGAAAGTGCTCCTCGTACATGCTACTGACTTAAATTTTGAGAACATGGCAATTTTTTTTTTCTTCTCAAATTATCCTCCAAACACCGTAGATTCTCAACAAGCTACAGCTGCAGTTTTTCATACGAATTCTTGAAAGTCTTGCATCAGAACTCTTGAAAAATACCTGCCTCTTGTGGGTACTTTTAGGACTTGCACATGACATCGAACGTATGCGACAACTAGAAGATGGTGTTCTTTCATGTACGTGAAGGAACGGGTATAGATAACATCGATGGGCTCTCCGATAAGCGAACATCATCCTTATCTTTTGAAAACCGAATGATGTAATCCTTGTTTGAATGCCCCCATTTTGAAAAAAATTGCAAGACAGTTTGAAGTACGTGGAAGTTTTCTGGTACATTGCAAAAAAAATGACTCATTAATAGATTCCAAAAGAGACTTAATGTTTTTAGTGCATGTTGTGTTGCTGTTCTTCAAACCACAGTTTGATGGACACATTTAACCAGAACATATTGATAATTTGATTGCCCTTTGATGTCTTTCCTTCCATTGTGAACCAGGACGATACGAGTATGGGATTACACCCAAGACAGCTGTGTCATAGTACTGGAAGGACACGGGGCACCAGTCCGAGGGCTGCTCTGGAACCCAGAGATCCCGTACCTATTAATATCAGGAAGCTGGGATTACACAATAAGGGTCTGGGATACAAGGTGGGTACCAGACTATTCAGCTACACAGTGGGGTATATGATATTTCAATATGGGCTGAAATATGACATTCCCTTTTAATGTGTATTCTTTTCAATAAAGAAATTCCAATCACACTTTATTTGTTAAAGATTGACCACTGAACTCCCGTCTTTCAAAGAAATGCTCTTTGTACAATGTTTCTCCTTTAAAACTATTCCTGAAGATCGAAGAGGTCACAATTTTGGTATTCGTGCATTTTCCTCACAAAATTGGAAACAAGGCAAATCCTGAGGCAATAACGCCCAAAAAAAAAAAATGACTAAAAAAAAATTAATGTACTTTTAGCGAAATTTTTTATCTGAGCACAAAGTCAAATTCATTCTGGTAGCACACAAACCCATATAATATTCGTGTGTACATTAACAGAAGGGCAGAAAGCCTTAAAGATTAAAAATATAGAGGTAGTCTAGCTTACCTGCTGTCACCTGACAATTTGTAGAGTTAGTAAACCTCTCTTTTCAAATTTTTTTCTTCTTCTTAAGGGACGGAGCCTGCCTAGACAACATTCTAGACCACGGCGCCGACGTCTACGGTCTGACCTCTCACCCAAACCGGCCGTTTGTCCTGGCCTCCTGCTCACGGGACTCCACCCTGAGGATTTGGTCCCTGGCCCCACTGGTCACCACACTGCAACTCAGTATCATCGCTAGGAAGCCATTAGAGGAGGTCATAGGCACGGCAGGTAGGCCTGGAGGGGAGGAGTTAGGGGTTTGTAGGGGGGGGGGAGAATTTTTGGCAAAATCTCTTTGGTCCATCATTCCAACCTTAACCAGTTCATGCCGGATGACGTGTATACTTGCAAAGGTTTTGCGGTATTCAGAACGGATGACGGATAAACATGCAGGGAGTGAGGCCGGAAATATCTGTCAGCAACCCACTCGCAGCGAGCGAGGCTGGAAATATGAGTGTACTGCCCAAGGTTGATGGCTTCAACCCGCCTGGCTTGAGGTTGAGTGAAAAGTAATCCTGCTCCTCGTTCCGTTCTTGTCAAATTATTCCCGGCGTGAACTGGTTAAGAATAAGTTTGAAATTCAGCTGAGGTTGATTGGTTTTAATGTAATTTTCTTGATTTTTATCAGTTGATATAATTTGTGATGTATTTACAAGATATTTCGCCAGTAAGCCCAGAGAAGGGAGAAGTTTGACATTAGAAGGCAGGGAAGGGAAATTTTTTGCGAATTTTTTAAGTTGATCATTCTGACTTTAAAGATGCACATTATAAGATGGAATTTTGCGTCGGGGCGATATAAATCAAATTATAGGTTTTGCCATTCACCGACGTGACGTTTAAACACTGTATACTTTAAAGATGCAGTTGAAAAGTAAGCTGAGACAACCATTTCCAATTTTTTCTTTCAAATGATATAATTTTTTATGTAAATAATAAAAAAAAAATTCGCATCACATTTTTTTCCCCAAAATTCAGAGCTTTCTGTTTTAAATATATTTAGAAAATTTTTGTCAGCTTAATTTTTTTTTGCCAAATACTCTAGCTGTGTTTTTCAGAACATGCATCATTTTAAAGTGGTTTACCAAATTGTTTTTTCAGTAATTGTCACATGAATATCAACCAATTTTCTCAAAATTATTTTTTCCCCTAATTTTTTTTTTTTTTGTGGCTGTGATTTTGTAGAGCACTCCATGGCAATGAGTACATCAACCGTCATGGCGGGCCGCATGTCGCGGGAACTGAGGCTGAAGTTGGAGCAGTACAAGGGGGACCTGGATCACAATGTGGCCTTACGATGGTACTCTCATCTCTTCGCAGTAAGTTTTACATCTTTTTAACAATGAGATACGACAGTTTCTACTTGATGAATCTCCAGGCTTAAGTGACTTAAGAATCTAACGAAATTGATTCCAAAATCGTGATCGTAACTCCACTCCTTTTTTTTTTGTGGAGGAATTGACTCCCAGTACACAATGTTGCAGCTGATTCTTGTTCCTCAAAGATTTAAATTGAGATGCTTCAAAGTGAATCACAACAGTAATTCATTACTGATATTATTGAGGTTTTCCTAATTTTTAGCCGGGTAAATTTGTTGGTGATTCTCAACAAAATCGCTACTCCCGTATAGATTGGAATTAATTCCAAAAACATTGGATTCACTCTGGGCTAAGCATCTTGTTCTTCTAATTTCCTCTATATTGGCTTCACAAAGTTCTCGACACATAAAATCATGAAACCTGTTGCAATATGAAATTCAAATCAGGCGTTTCCTGAAAAGTAGGTCGTAGGTTCGTGAAGACACACACTGGCGAGCTTAAGTATTTGAGTCGCACAAAAAGCAACGAAAGCATTTTTGAAAGAATTAAAGAATGTTTCTCTTGATTCTCTCGCAGCCACCGGGTGGTTCCCGAATCCTGTGGGAGTTGGTGTCCGTCCTGAATGGTCAAGATGACAGCTTGCTGCCTGACGACTACAGCAAAGGAATCATGCACGCTAAGCATCTCATCAAATTCAAAGCTGTGAGTTTGCATTCAACAGTGGACCATTCCTTAAAACTTGTTTCAGTGAGGGTGTCGACCTTAACTTTCTTGTTCGCTAGCCAGCCGGGCTACTGAAACAGGCTCTTAACTAGCTCGCGGGCATTTTCACTAGCCCGCATGTTTTTTTCTTTTAGAGAACGTTTCATAAACGGCAATGTGCATACATGTAAAACGTGTATAGAGCCTGAAAGTTGGCCCCTGGTGGTGCGCTTCAGGGACCCTCGAAAAGGAAAATTAGCATGTAAAAGTCTAGAGTTTTTGGAAGTAGTTTTGGTACATTGATTTCTTAAGAAAATTACTCTCGGAATTTTATGGAAACTAAAAAAAAAGATAAATATTGTGCCAAAGATTGACCTCTCACTTCCGAGAACTTCCGTGTGGACTTGTGAAACTCGATCACTCGTTCAAGCATGACAATTTTTAGAATAATTTTGTGGCGGTCATTGGGTAAAAACTTATATTAAACTTAAACAGGAGACTCAAATTGATACAGATTTGCTTTCTCAATTTAATGACTTATTTCTTCCTGTCCTTTCAACTTTGCCGTATCCCAATTTTTTGACTTGCCAGCCGGGCTACTTAAGGAATAGTTTGACTAGCCTGTCGCAGTTCTGACTAGCATTTGGCTAGCGGGCTACCGCTAATTTCGAACCCTGGTTTCAGTTGTATAAACTTTGTGCAGGAACAGATGGTGTGCAGGAACAAAAGTCTAAAAATAGTAAGGATGTTATTCATTTTTGTTGAACTAGAGTTAAAAGATTAAAATAGAATTTCTCAAATAGAAAAAAAAAAGGTTGCACCCAACTATAGCATTACCATACCGTTATATTATCGTGTGTAACCCCTGTCTTAGCTTACCCTTGATATTATTTAAAATAAATCCCACTGCATGCCTTCATTCTCTGAACTTTGACCTTTGACATTTCTCCGTGACCTCTAGTCAGAAGCCCAGGAGTTGGAGATGGTCAAGATGACCCGCCCTACCTCGTCAGGGACCGGTGTCAAAGGTCGCGAGGACAAACTCCGGGAGGCGGCCAACGTCCACATCAGACTGGGCCAGGTCCAGCGCTACTGTGAACTCATGGTGGAAATACACGAGGTTAGTCATTTTTTTGTTTTTTTCTTTTTTGATAGCAACATAGGAAATTTTTATACCAACTCCAAATTCTGTCTTGCTAATTTGCTTTCAATTTGCATTCAATTCAGTGGGAGAAAGCCTTGTCCGTCGCGCCCGCTGTATCAATGGACTACTGGAAAAAACTCACAGAAAGGTGAGTTTGTATTCAGTGTATTTTAGACACGGACAGATTTCTTCTAACCAGATTATTTTTTGCCTTTACATTCTGTTATTAAAGCGTAATGAAAGGTTGCTTGATTCACATCGGTCTATCTAAATCACTGATCCCTGAGTTGGATAGAAGAAGTGTTCCCAAATTATTGTCTCTTTTTTTTATGGAAACCAAATTGGGGTTTAAACCCCGATTGAGATATTCCCCAGATTGGGTAGAAACCCATCTGAGACATTCCTACGATTGGGATAGAAACCCAGTTGATATATTTCCAAGATGGGGTAGAAACCCAATTGACATACCGGTATTTCCCCGATTGGGGTAGAAACCTAAGTGATAAATTTCCTTGATTTGGGTACAAACCAACTGGAGATGATCGGGTATGGATTAACCGAGGTATTTTCCAGATTGGACAGGAAATTTGAGATAATTTCATAATTAGGTTATTATCCTGATTAGGTCACTCTCCTGATTAGACCATTTCACCATTCAATTTCACATGAAAAGAGGCAGCAGTTTTGGCTTTGAAAAAGTAGACATACCAGTACAGGTACACCTTTAATGCGTAAAAAAAAAATGCAACAGTGAATTTCAGTGTGCTGCATAAAATTAAATTATTGTCAGAAAACTTCCCTTTTTTTAAAACATAATTTTAGGTAACCAGTTTCATCATATTTTACTATTAATAATAAAAAAAAAAAATAATAAATAAAAAAACTACCATTAATTGTTACTTTTGTGATTTTCTTCTTTATATTTAGATATGCAAATTTTCTTGCCTCCGAGAGCAGCAACGATTGTGTGCCTTATTACATTGCAACGGGAAACATCCAAAGACTGGTCGACTACTTCAGTTTGCACAACCAGTTGAAAGATGCCATGTTAGTCGCACAAGTAGCGTGCGAGGAGGGCATCGCTCCAACGACAAGTGGGCGCGCAGGGCCGAGCATACCAAACGAGGACCAGAACGGCGTAGCGGAGCCTACGGAGGAAAACGTCCAACGTGTGAATGACGTGAGCTGGAAGCTTGCTGAGCTGTACTTCCAGGACGGCCACCCTATCATGGCCGCTTGCTGTCATCTTGCCGTGGGAAATACAAGGGTGAGTTGGATAGCCATTATGGGAGTGATAGGGTCCTACAAATAGTTACTTAAAGGTACATTCCATCATTTGCAGCTATCCAAAAAGTAACTGACAAAATAATTGTTGAAATGCATACTTGGTTTAAAGATAGTCTCCCTGTGACATTATTCTTTCTGGCATGCTGTCATGTTAAAGAAAACAAAAGATGTGTCTAAAGACTCAACTTTAATAATTAACCAGGAATACAAGACAGTTACATACCAGTTTCTGGCAAAAATCTATTTGCTCAGCAAAAAAAATAAATTGCCAGAAACTGGTCTATAATTGTCTTGTATTCCGGTTTAATTATTCAAGTTTGAACAAACTTTGGTACACAAAATCAAGCAGTAAGTTCTATTCATGTTTATTTTTTCTTTGCATTGCTCCTTAGTGTGCCCTGTCTAAACTGATCCGCGGACACGAGCTGGAGCTAGCAATAAGTGTGGGTAGGGCACTAGAGGGCAGCAGACATCCGGATTTAATCGCCATGGCCACGCAGTATCTCACTCGGCGCTGTCAGAGGTTGGGCAAATGGTGAGTGATTGTCAGCATCTCAAAATCACTGTCCCTAAAAAAAAAAACAAGCTCGATCGGATCTCGGAAACTGCTGGCCAACGAATGCGTGTTCACCTTATTTGTACCTTTGACCCCATAGCTGTAGGTCAGACGGAGAGGTCACAATGGACATTTTTTAGTGTTTGACGAAGGCCAACATGCTGACAGCGCTAATTTTGTCATTTGAGCTTTCTTTACAAGGTGACCTATTTTTAACCTTTGGCCCCATAACTATAGGTCAGACAAAGAGGTCATCAGGGACATTTTTTTAATGTTTGATAAGGGAAGTTTAGTTTTTTGGGGGATGTATAGGTTACCAGTTTTCGTCTACCAACGTACACGAAACATTTAGGCTACATGATCTGCACGCACCAACTATACTCTGCAGACAGTCGTGTTTTACTAAACTCTCGAGGACAATGCTTTGTGTTTCCCTTTGTCCCTGTAAGCTCTCCCATAGGCTAAGCACATAACCGTACGATAGAGGACTGTTTCCAACAAAAGACCCAACGCCCAAGGACTGAAAGGATCTGTTGTTCTCCCTTTGTGTGTCGGTCCTCGGGGGTTATGTATAACTCGTACACTTGTTTCTGTCTTGTATTACGCTCGAGGACAGACCCACAAAAGGATAACAAAAGATCCTTTCAGTCCTCGAACGACGATGCTTTTGTTTGAAACTGTCCTCGATCGTACGTTTACGTGCTTAGTCTATGGGAAAGTGTTAAAGTACAGGGACAAAGGGAAACACAATAGGTTGTCCTCAGGCGTATAGTAAAACACGACTGTGTGCACATGACTGTGATACAATGTACATTGCGTTTATACCTGTATACAATGTATGCAGTACACATCACATGCCCCAGGCCTCGGCCTCAGTAACACGTGCAAAATACCGTAAATTTTTAGTTTACTACCATGTAGGTATGTATGTTTTGTAACGAAATGCAAAAGTATGGCATTACACAGAAACAGTAATGATTCTGGATGTGTGCCAACCCAATTTAACACCCTCCTGTGATGTCACACTATTATTTCTTCTCGCCATTATTTTGCTCGAATGGAGCACGGCGCGCCATTCAGCTTCTGACGAATGGCGTACTGCGCACATATTTTGTTTGCCGTAGATGGGTGAAGCCACTTATGTGTGATTCAGTAATTTAACAGAATCGTAGCAAGACACTAAGGTTTTCGTTTTGGGTTGAGCTCCGTAAGGGTTAATAGAATAAATAACGTATTCTGAGTTGCACCTGTTGTGTTATTTCTCAGGGATCTCGGACTGGACCTACAGTCAACGCTTCCCAATCATGAAGACTTGATGATTTGTTTGTGCGCACGCTGCGTGTCCTGCTCTACAGAGGTCAACTACCTCCATCAAAAGGTACCAGATTGGACAGCCACGCTAACAGTACCCATCATTTGCCAAACAGGACTACCTGCATTCCAAACTGTGATTTCTGTTCTCTTCAATGTAATCACCGACCACATGCATTTTCCTTGGTGCAGTATAACTTTTTTGTGTGCATGAGAGGTGAAAAATGTTGGCTGTTTCATAACCTAGGTAAATTTAAATGTAAGTAGGTATAAATATTTGAGACTACAAATGTTGGAAGCATTTTCCGTATGTAGTTTCAAATGTAATGTTAACTTGGTTTGAAGCATTTTTGTGTGATCTAAACAAAGTTTTGGGAGACACCTACCAGTTCTAAATTCTGTATGACCGGACGGTCATCTAGGGGTCACTTGAGGTCGTTGTTTAAAAATGCACAAACGTTGACTTTTTTAAGAACTCAAAACATATAGGGATGAACCGCGGAAAAAGGCGACACATGCGGTCCGCAGACCACTTGTTATTCAGCCAAATTGGAAGCATTGTCTTCAGCAGCATTTACTTCTTGGTGAAATTAGTAGTAGGCCTACCTGGAAGAGTTAAGGTTAAATCCAGTAAATTGGTTCCATAATTGCTATAATTTTCTCTTGCATGTTGTCTGACGCAGGCCGGCCTTCCCAGCACCACTGAATGCACGCAGAAGGCCCAGGAGTTGGAGGCTAATGGGGACGTGGAGTGCGTCAAGTACTACCTCCTGTCTACGACACCAGAGAGGGCGCTGGAGCTGGGAATCACCAAGATCACTGGTACGTATTGCACCCAGGAGTGTATGGGCTCTGTGCACAAGTACCCCCTCAACGGTTACAAAGGGAGAGTTGGGGGAGACCACTGGGCTGGGAGGGACATTCGAATGCTTTGCTGACAACGCCGGGCGCTCATGCTATGGCTTTGTACACATTCAGAATAAACTTAGTCTTGTGGACTTTGCTCCATACATGCGCAAACAAGCATGCACACCCATGTTTGTTTTACATACGCTATGTGGACATTCCTTTGTTTTCGTGTAGTTAAGAAAAGTTGGTACAAAAAATTAATTTTATCTAAACTGTGAAAACTCTTTCAACCCCCAATTTTTGTTTTTTGATTTCCTTGAATGTTTCTCTTCATTCTGCGACGGATAACCCTAACCTGAAAATGCCTCTAAACCTGTTTTCCAGAGAGGGCGAAACGTTATGTGGACACGGCTTAGTCCACATAACGTCAACACAACCTGCATTATGTGGACATCTTTTGTTCACATGTCCACATAGTGACTGTAAGACACAAAGTGTGTATTTGCCTGCAATCGTGGACCCCCTATTGTCCCTCTTTTGTTTGTACTCTAACTTTTTAGGAAAACCTCCCATATGTTTTGTACACGAATCCAAATTGGGGACCTCTCGGGAATTGGGGACCCTATTGTCCTCTATTGTTCAGTGTCCCCTATTGAATGCAGAAACAAACTCAGTGTGTCTAGTCCACTGTGCTGTTATAAGTGGTCAAAAAATGTTATTATTTTTTTTTCCAGTTTATGTATGACAATATTGAGATCATATGCATTATGTGGGTGCTGTGGTCCGTTGGTGTTTGACTTGTGTGCCGTGGTACATTGAGTCGAACCCTGACAGGGAGCATAATGCTTGTGATCTTGGGCAAGGTACTTTACTACGATTGCCTCTCTCCACCCAGGAGTATAAATGGGTACCTGTGAAAGTAGAGACCAAATTGTGCTGATCTCGAGCTGCTGCAGAAAACTGGTCTTTATGGCCCGATGAACAGAGATAATAATTGCGATGCATTTTATCATATTCATATGGAATTTGCAAAATGTAAATATATAAATTATTATTATTATTATACATATCACAAACTTAAAAGTTATGGCAGATATAGAAGCTGTTTGAAATGTATGCAGTTGTTGTATTCATTCATAAGTTGTACACATGATGTGCATTTTTTAGTAAGTTAAACCAAAGTTCTTTGAACAGAAAACTGATCAATGAGTTCTGGATAAATGGTCAAACTCAAGAGGATAATTATTAACCCTAACCGAACTCAACCCATCAAAGTTCAACAGCAGGTTTTGTTTAAATCTGTTGGGATAGGTACAGTACCTCTAAACTGATGGTCTTTTACACTGGGGTTGGCATACCTCCAGAAACTAAGTCCAACAATTTGTGTGTACAATTTCCCATGTGGGTGTTGGAATTTGCCAGAATGGGTATGGTTCCTAGTAAATTAGGCTGGGGAGTTAGGGTTAATGCAAGAACCTTCAAGCATTTGAATGTTTTTAAAGACTGATTTTTTCCACGAGTTTGATGTGATGTGATCAGTAAAAGAAGTGTACATTTCCACTGTTGCAGATAAAATGTGTGAAAGAAATTGGACGTTACAAGACGTGCTGCCAATGATCACGCTACTGACCAACATACGCAATGATGTCTTACTGCAAAAGAGTGCTACCAAGTGAGTGGTAATACGCTAACAAATGCGCGTGCACGATAAGCTCTTGCCGTCTTGCATGAAAGTCTTGCATGAAATCTATCAAAACGATCCCAGCCAAAGCTTAAAAATGCGACGCCCAAAAAATGCGACGCCGATGGCACATATGGAACACCATACTTTGTGATAAATACCACGCAGCGGCGGCGGAACGGGTTTGAAACTGGGGGGGCATTACCCAAAAGGGGCACTTGCTCAGCATTTTTTTTTGGGTACATCCGTGCTGAAAGGTCGACACGTGTTTTTCACCGGACACTTGCCCTCCGTAAAATCAAATAGTTGGGGGGGGGGGGGAGGGGGGGGGGGGGATGGTACCATCTTCCAACATAGGGGGCGCTCTTCTAAACTGATTATATGCTAACTATGCATTATGTGCCCCTGTGCCCATTTTCAGGGCGTATTGTATGGGTTTTTGGGGCTTTGTTTTCATATTCCTCGTTTATATCAAAACTATCTATACCATTATTGGGAAATTGTTACTTCTCAGAAATACAAAGATACTTTCAGGGCATTTTTTTTATCTCGAAGGGGCACTTTTATGCTCGAGGCGAGGGGGCACATTTATGGCCGCAAAAGGGGCACTTGGGGAAATCTGGGGGGGGGGCAAATGCCCAGCCCCCCCCCCCAGGTTCCGCCGCCCCTGATACCACGTGACTATAACATTACTGCGCATATTTTGCCTCCATTCACAAACTTTTCATAAACAAAGACTGTAGGCTGTAATTTGGTCCATAATGTCAGAGTTTGACCGATTGATTATTTGTCTAGTCTGTGTCTTGTAACTCCATTTTTTCATCATTGTTTAGTTTGTCAATTATACACCTTATTCCTGAGAATTAACTGAACTTCTGATCCTGAGTCAATACTTCTGATCTTGAGTTTTGTGGTTGTCACTAAATAGTTGATATTCCTAATTCAGGAGAGATGATTGAACTGTTGCATAGGTTGAGTAAAAAAACCGAAACCCAAATGTTGGGACCATTGTTTCATTGAAGTTCTGCATGTAGCACTTTCAAAATCTAGGATATGAAAACCCAATTCATAAGCTTTCTTTTAGTACAAGAATCATTCAAATCACTTCTGTTCTTTTCAAGTTACAGAATTTTAAACACAAGCACTGTTTTAAGGTTCTGTCCACGGATCACATAAAAGTTCAGTGTTCTTTCAGCAAAACGAAAAGAAATCACATGAGGATGTGTGTGAATTGTTTTCATTTTACTGAAAGAACGCACACCTTTTTTTTGTGATCCGTGGACAGAACCTTAAAATGGTGGTTGTGTTTAAAATTCCGTAACTTGAAAAGCACAGGAGTGATTTGAATGATTCTTGTACTAAAAGAAAGCTTATGAATTGGGCTTTCATATCCTAGATTTTGAAAGTGCTACATGCAGAACTTCACTAAAACAATGGTCCCGACATTTGGGTTTCGGTTTTTTTTAACTAACCCTGTAGTTGTGTGGTTTCTCACCGGGATTATGGATATCTTTTGTTTCAGAGAGAGAACTGAGTTACTGCTCTTGAGCCACTACCTCGGGGCCTTGAGAGCAATACGCAGGGGCTACAACAGCATCGTCCTGCCTCTCCTACGGCAGTCCAGGTAAGTCTGGAGAACATCGCCACTTAACCAATGGCAGCAGAATTGACTGCCACTCTGCCATAGAAATCAATAGAGGGGGCTCTGCATGTATTAAAGATATAGTCCATCATTTGTAATTTGTGCATTTTGTTCGTTTGAAGTAACAAAAGTGTTCAAAATCTAATGAAGGATACTGAACAACTAACCTGATGAAGTTTCAGCTCAGCTTCAGCTGTATATTCCGAGAAAAACCACATTCTAGGATCTCAATTTCAAATCAAAAGTTGCTGAATCATGTTTTATTGAATTGCAGCGTCTTAAGACGCACCGTTGGAAAGGCCTTCTTTCGTTGATTACTTCAAAATGATAGCTTGCCAGAAATATTAATTTCACAGGGAGTTTAGTCCATGTACTATCTTTCAACCAAGTATGTTTTTCAACAATAATACGCCAGTTACTTTTTCGGATGGCTGCAAATGATGGACTATAGCTTTAAGTGTGTGAATATTTTCCCTGTTGGGGCCCTGTTGTAATAATCACATGTGCAAGCGCATGGGGCAAGTTCGAGCAAGGACCAGTGGTTAACTAGTGGTTGGTTCGTGACGTACCTAGCGCATGCGCACTGAAGTTGAAGTGCGAACCACTCTTGTCTAACTATTGTCATGTCAACGACTGTCAGAAAATGATGGTCGCACAATTATTCAACACTTGTTTCTCTTTATTTACACAAATAATAGTGATTGTGTAGAGGCTCTGTGCGCCAGCAAAGAGGGCGCCCTTTTACCTAGCAACAACGTCACATGGGCAGGACATTTAGCTGGTTGACTCGCACCATTCCTTGTTTGTGACGCACGTACACCAGGGTATTTGTACTATGTACACGCAGTGGTACGGCCGCGCGTCGTGGCAAAATTGCAATCAGGCAAGATGGCGTCCATTGGTCACCCCCTACTGTACTTTCTTTGACAGTGAGGGGGTACTTGTGAACGGAGCGGATAGTTTAGGACATCTTACATACTATCGCCAGTATTATTGTACAATGGTGACAAAAGTGACATAATCGTAAACTAACATGGAAAAACTGTGCAATGAAAATTAAATTGCACACTCACAGTTTCGTTTTCCGCCATTTTTGTTGATAGTTGGTCCCCCTGGCACTATGCTATGGAAATTGCTATTGATAACCAGCTATAAATCGTGGCGTGACCAGCCGCAGTAGGCTGGTCCTGAATAGTTGATTAGAGTACTCCAACCATCGTCGACTAGACAGAGTTCGGCTAACTTGGTCGAACTGTGGTTCTTGTGCGAACTTGGCTATGGTTTAAAGGAAAAACCTTGTGCAATATTTTGCACCAAGGAAGAGTAAAACAGTCAAATTTTGTTCAACTTTAAATGAAAGTTCACGACATCCCTTAATTCTGTGGATTTTTGTCCACTCCATTCTAGGCACATGTTGACGAAGAAAGACTTGGACGCGGAGGTTGCCGTTCCGCTATCTGAGGAACAAGTGAAGAATGAGCTGGAGGCATGGACAGCGCAAAGGCAGTATGAAGAAAGGTACGAATTATGACTACCATGCTTAATTGGGCCAAGTTCGCGCAAGGACTATAGTTGACCAATGGTTAACTAACGTTTGCCCGAACTCTGTCTAGTCGACGGTGGTTGACTACGCTAGTCGACTATTTGGAACCAGCCTACTGGGGTTGGTTGCTTCGCTGGTAACCAATAGCCGCGCTCATTCAAAACGCTAGCAGAGAGCCAGGATCCAGAAGTTTTGCGATGACATTTTGACCAGCGTTTGACTAGAGACGTTCGCACGTCGCTATCAGTGCGCAGGCGTAAGGTACGTCACAAATCAACCACTAGTCGACTAATGGTCCTTGCCCGAACTTGGCCCATGTTTGGACATGCAGCTTGGCCAAATCTGGAACAGTCCATTCATACTGTTCTCAGGGGAAAATGACTTGTCTAAAACACTGGGTTATTCCATTAATTTGGGGTCCAAAAGTGTGACATCTTTTTGTGTCCCTGTCACACCTGACTTGTGTAATTTGCCGTGCAAGTATCATTAAAATTGACTTCAAAACTATTTTTTATATGTTCGACAGGTACTTTGCTTTACATCATTATCACTCTATCAATGTGTCCTGAATTTATAACAATCTGTTATCAGTGTTAACAGGGCCACAAAAATAATTGGACCCCAAATTTATGGAACGACCCACTGTGAGCCAACCATCCTTACTATAATTCCAGGAATCTCTGTCTGTCTGGCTGTCTGTACGTCGATTATCTCCAAAACCGGGTGAAGTTGAAACTCGGCGGGTGTATTGCTCGGGACCACATAATGTGCAGTGTTAAGTTTGAAGTGGTTTGGACGAGCGGTTCTCGAAAAAGCTGCAAAAAAGTAATATTTTCTGAGGCAAACGTGCCAGTATATAGCCTAGACCACTGCGCACTGATGTTCTTTTCAATATTGTTTACGTCATGTTTAGGCTTAAGCGCGCGTGCTCAATATGACACAAACAATGCAAAAAGGACGGGCACGCGCATTGTAGGGCGATAGCATTGTCCAGTATGGCTGAATAGCACTGCATACCATGTTTCCGTATGTACACGTACGGGGTGGCTGCACGGGCACATTATTTTTGCAGTCGACTGAGCGACCATTGTAGGCGGTCGACTGAGCAACCTTACTGCAGGGCGATACCGTTCTCCAGTAGGGGTGAATATCTGCGCTATTTTTTGCATTTTTTTTGAGAACCACTCGCCCAAACAACTTCAAACTTGGCACAAACTTTGACGTGAGTGTGCGTTCAACCTGTGAAAACAACACCATTGAATCGCATGCGTTGTTTGCACCAGAAGTTCTCAAAAACTCTGCAATCATGCAACAAATACCAGCGGCAAAGCAATTTGTGCTTTCCAAACAGGCACATTTTAGACAACCACTTCACTAGTTTAATCAATGTTTAACAAATGTCCACTTCTCACTCCACAGGAAACTGGGTTCCCCTGACGCCAGTCCACCCAGCGAAGCACAGGCGGCCATCTACAGTGCGCTGATGCAGCGTGCCGGGTCCGAGGAGACTGAGCTGGAATGCGGCGTCGACCTGGTGGCCGGCTCCCGGCTACCCTGCCATTCAGACGTCCACACATCCCTCCTGACGGGCGCCAGGATTCAGGTCAGTACAAATGTAATGAATATGTAATACATAATATGAATATGCATATCCATTCAGCCAATAGCACTTGAATGTGATTTTCTATGTAAATTATATTGGGGATTGGATGGATGTGATTTTACTCAAAATCTAGGAATTTCCAAGGTGTGTTTATCCGTCGCAAATTGAAAATATTTTATGTAAGGGATATTAAGTCCGAATTCCAGCCCAGGAAATTAATTCTGGTTAAAATAGGAGCATTTTGAAACTACACTTCCAAACTCTAAACTTTAGTACACGAGAACAAAGAAATGACACCACAAGGATACAAATTCCAGTATGCCTGTGTGTGTATTTTACGTGAAATTTGTTGTTACGGGATGCGCGTGAACCATTGTCAAGGAAAGTGAGTCTGACTAGGGAGGAGGTGACGTCACACTTCTCAATGTATTGTGCTGCCATTCAGAATTAATTTGGTTTTTGTTTTACTTCAATTTGTTTGTTTTTTCTATTTTAGGGTCCCGTATTTTTCCTGGAGGATGGCAAGTCCGCCATCGCTCTCAACGATGCCTTGATGTGGGCAAAGGTCAATCCCTTCTCACCGCTGGGTACCGGTGCAACTATCAATCCATTCTGATGGGTACCAGTCAATATGGTGAATCTGCTGATGGGAACCGACGCAGGTATCAATCTATTGTGAAGGGTACCGCTCAATCAAGTCAGTGAGGGAACATGGGAACCAGTGCAACAATCAATTCATTCTGATGGGTACCAGTCATTCAGGTCAGTCTGCTGAGAACCGGTGCAACTATCAATCCATTCTGATGGGTACCAGTCAATAACGTCAGTCTGCTGGGAACCGATGCAACTATCAATCTATTCTGATGGGTACCAGTCAGTAATTTAGTCTGCTGGGAACTGGTGCAACTATCAATCCATTCTGAAGGATACCAGTCTATCAAGGCAGTCTGCTGAGAATCAATGCAACCAGCAATCCGTTCTGTTGGGTACCAGTCTATCAACCAATGCAACCAACAATCTGTTCTTTTGGGTACCGGGCAATGAAGTCAATCTGCTACGAACCGGTCCAACTGGCAACCCACTCTGACCTGTACCGGTCTATATTGTCAGTTTGCTCAGAACCGGTGAAAATATTAATCCATTTTGATGGGTACCAGTCGATCAGGGGCAAAATGGATTACCTTAATATGCATTGGTCGTTACTGGTTCCAGGCTAAGTTTTTGATCAATAAGAAAATTTGTTAAAAAGCAAAATTTTCTCCTAATTATAAGCAGCTAGGGGCCCATGAAATCAGCCCAGGCTTGGCCCATCTGTGGAAGCTCACAGTGGAAAAGCAAATTTCTTCACTTGACTTTGTTCAACATTCATTTACAGGGGCGTGAAATCTCAGCTTTAAAGCTGATTTCAGCTTTCTTTTGTTTTGGATTTGAGCTTTTTTTCAGCTTTTTTCCTCACTTGCTGTGTACAAAAGTATAGGAGATTTCCAAAGTTAAGCTTTTTTATACCTTTTTTTCAGCTGTTTTCAGCTATTTTTAACAGTGGTCACTCACACCCCTGATTTAGTAACGAGTAGAGCCTTAAGGATACAACATTTGCTGTATTTTTTAGAAATTGATGAATTTAGGGGTTAGTGTTTTATAGAAATATTGTTACACCGACACGTTTAAAGTTTTGTGTTCATAGATGCTGGAAAAACCAAGAAAAAAAGTGCTGTTCTTGTAGTCTGGTTTCCTGACCCTACTTCAGACGAAATGGAGCAATTTATAGATGTTAAGGAATTGCCGGGTCAGGGAACCAGACTGGCTGGCTTGCAGCCGTTCATGGATGTGTAACCGATTGCAAACAAATTGTGGACTTACTTAATTTGGTAATTTGGGGGCAGTGTTTTTTTTTAAACGGTCAGTCTTTTTCCCAACGATGGTCATCCGACTACAAAAATTCCACTTTTCTTGAAAATGACAGCACCCCAGGTGCCATGATTTCACAGGATGCTTGAGACTATTATTCACTAACAGTCAAGGAAGGTATTTCATAATAATTTGGTAGTTTTGTTCTGTGATGTTTGCAAATGTTTTATATACTACCTTTAAGTTGTAGCCTTTTAAATTTGCAGCCAGTTTGCAAGTGATATGCCAAAGATGAGCTCATTTTTACAAAAGTGCGAAATATATTTGCTACGCATGTACAGTTTTCATTTAGATTTAACTAACTTTTAGGTTGTAGTGGCACAACACCTCTCAGTTGTCAGAATTGTATTGCTGCTGCTTGCGACAGGATTTTTTTCCACCAGTGAAATCTTTTCTTTAAGCTCAATGGTTTCATCTTAAGCCTGACCAGTTACAATATTAGTTATCCCAAGAACACGGATTTATGTAGTACATCTGTGTCTCCTATGCCACGAGGCCGAAATAACGAATTTATCTTCAAGCAAACTTGACATACTGTAAACATGGAACACGCATGCTGTACCCACGAACTTTGCAACGGTTTTCCTTTTACACATGCGTGCAATAGGAATACAGTGGAACGCCGCTATAACGAACATCGCGGGATCCACAGAAATTGTTTGTAATATCGATCGTTAATTCAGTATAGCAATTTTAAGCTGCCGGTGCTCTGGTACTCACTTTTCAAAAAATAGCGCCCTTCGTAACTTCACCCTGCACGCCCTGGTAGTTATTGAAAGACGACTTTGAACACGTGCCGGCTATTGAACAACATGTAATTACACAGTTTTTCAGCTTGCTACAATGTACCTACGGCAATGGGTGCCTTTCCCCTTCTATTCCTTGGGGAAATAATAGCCACTTGTTGCTCTTCGGTTGACATTTTTCAACAACAATCTTTGGTACGTTTTGCACACATCGGGAGCCGACGATGTTTGGTATAGCCGAATGTTCGACTGTAGTGCGAGCAATTAGAACAGCGCAATACACGGAGTGTGACATGGACAGGAAAATACTGGTATACAGGAAAATGCCAGACTGTTGTTGCCATGGATCAACCAATCAGGATCGAGGATTCCAGTTTGCTTGAAGATAACAATGTTTGTATCCATGTTTAAACAGGCAATTAAACCTTTGAAATAATGGCTCAAAATGCTTTGCTTTTCGTTTTCTTTAAGTAGACGTTTGAAATAGAGCGTTTGAAATGGATATTTGCAATCAGTTAGTAAAAGTATGTGTGCTGTGAGTAGGGAAATAGCTCTGAGACGCAATGAGTGTTAATGACGGCACCTTTTTTTTTACATGTGCTCTTTCCTATGGGAGCCAGGTGGAGATGAGAGCCACCAAGCTCCCATAAGAAAGCGCACATGTAAACAAAGTGTGATGTCATTATAAGTCAGGTTTATTCTTTGTAATTATTTTGTCATGTTGTTTGTCGTTCTAGTTATTTTGTTTCTTTTGAAGCTTTTACTTGTAGGAAAAGAAGGGCAGCACTAAAGTGATATTTTAATAACATAATTTAGTTCCTTTCTTATTATCAAATTTAAATCTTGAGAATATTTTTGAAAAAATTAATAATTGGTGTTACTATTCAAAGTATGAATTCAGCTTTCTGTACATTTTTGGAATGTAAACAATTTCAGAAAATGACAAGGTATATTTTTAATAATAAAGCAAGGTACATGTATAGCATTGTAAAAAAAAAAGACAGGAAACTACTTTAAATGCTATGCAGTATTGCAATGACTGGATTTTGGCGTATTTTTGCTCAGTACCAACTCTGGTCTTAAAATTTTGGCAAATTTGTCTCCCAGGAAAGTTCTTTGATACGCAAGAAGTAATAATAATAATAATAATACCGGAGTCTTATATAGCGCACGTATCTACCAACAATTAGGTACTCAAGGCGCTGGTATTTATGTCTATTTTTAAAGACAGGTAAATGAAGTTTTTATGAGAAATATGAGACCCATTATGTAGCACCTTTGTAAGGGTTTACAAGGTGCTGCGGCGCACATTGCAGCCACTGCCAGAAACACCGGGGCAAACCCCTTCTCTTAGCGATAAGTGTCACTGGGTTCTTTAACATGCATAACACAACACACGGGACCTATGGCTTTACGTCCCATCCGAGGGACGAAGCAATAATGGTAAAGTGCCTTGCTCAAGAGCACAAGGACCATGTTTTCCATCAGGATTCGAACCCATGTACCACGGCACATGAGTCGAGCAACGTAACCATTGGGCCACAGCCCCCCAGAGTAGTACTAATAAACATCTCCTGAATATCACTGTTGTGTTTACGACATAGAGCTATATTGAATTACTAGAGCGCTAACTCAATGTACAAAGTAATTCCTGATGTTTGTGCACAAACCTGTGGAAAACTTGAAATTTTGTACGGCTATTTGCATATCTGCATTTGTATTCCATTCCGGTGCGTCATCGAAGCCAATACGTCCAAAACGGAAACGCGCGATTAGCAAATGTGTTTCATTTTAAGGGGAGTCAGGTTGGCGTAGCGGTACTTTCCTCGCCTTCCACCGCTGTGACCCGGGTTCGAATCCCGCCTGGGCCAATATGTGGATTGGGTTTTCAGTCCCTGCCTGATTCCGTGGGTTTTCCCCAGAATATTCTTCTGGGCTTTTCCTCCCACCTCTAAAACTGTAACTTCTTCTCATTGTCTTCTCTCGACAGGTTTCTTTCTAGGGCGCTTTTGAGGAATCCTTGGTTTCATTACCAGAAATGATTAATAATAATAATAATAATAATAATTTTGCTCTACGCAAACAGCACAACGTGTGCGCGTCCCTCCGCTGCAGATGCTTTTCGCCGTGACGTATTTTGAACCGTCATGACGCGCTTAAGTTGTTTGCGTATCTTCTACTTGTGTGTTGCATTTAGAGTACACTTTTAAAATTCAATCCATCTTTTTTTATTGTGTTCTACAAACACGCACATAAATTCAAAATGTCTGCGCCCAGAGTGGCTTCAAAGCGTCTCCGCGCGCAAGAATGAGGAGTTAGCGCTCTAGTAATTTAATATAGCTCTATGGTTTACGATTACCAGTTGCATATATATATTCTAGTGAAAAATAGTTTAATAGTTTCTAGTAATTTTGTTGATACTTGGAGGATAACCTCCTGTTTAAAGAAAATAATGAGATACTTATTTATTCAGAATTTTTCAAAATCCGGCCATAAAGTTCTTTTCAATAGTTTATATAAATAAACGTTTTAAGTTCAAGAATGAAACTAAAGAAATTATCTCAAATGCACATCACTTGAAGTTGGTTGTAAATACTTCAGATCAAATGATTGCACTTGTACAAGTTTATCTTTTGCAATTAGAATTATAAGGTATAAAAATGATTGCACTTTTATTACTTTGTGTGTGAAACAACTCGCCTACTGAACTGCCGACATTGTTCAAAATGAATAGAATTTAGTCCTGAAATTGCCTGGATTGTGTACTTACATGTACCCACTGATGTGCTGTGCCATTATGTTGAGCGAAAAAGGGTAGTTGTTTTTTAACTCTTTATGTATTTTGACTTATATATTGGTTAACAACTTTTCCAGCCAAATAAAGTAGCAACCAAGTAAATTTTTCTAAAGATTTAAATAAGTTCAACATTTGAAATAGTTTATAAAAAATAACAACTGATATCTACCGTATATGCATCTTTGAAAACAGGCCATGAGACCATTTTTATGCAGCATGAGATCAGCACAATCTGGGCCTAATTTCATGGCGCTGCTAAGCACACAAATTTGCTTAACACAAAAAAAGTCTGGCTTATAAAAGCAGGTTACCAGCCAAAACTCCATGTGATTTTCATGCGAAGCAAACAACAGCTAAATCACGAGCAGTATACATCACATGGAGTTTTGGCTGGTTACCTGCTTTTATAAGCCAGACTTTTTTGTGCTAAGCAAATTTTTGTGCTTAGCAGCGTCGTGAAATCGGCCCCTGGTCTAAACCCTCACAGGTACCCATGTACACTCCTTGATGGAGAGAGGTATTGTGGTAAAGTGTCTTGCCCAAGAACACAAGCACCATGCGTCCCTACTAGGCACATGGGTCCCTACTAGGCACATGGGTCAACTACAGGTCATCAAAGTTTGACTATTGCAGTTAATCGGAATGACTTCAGCATCTATTGAAATGGCAAACTAATACATAAGATTGCCTGTCCAAAACCAAACTCTACATGTATCTGTGTGGTCGTGAATTGCTCCAAATACTTAATGGTTTGGCGCAAATCTGGGACTTCAGTCTAAAACCAGAACTAACGTTATGGATACAGTCATAATATTTTAGGTAAAGGATCTACCTAAGAAATTATCAAATTTTTATTATTTTAATAAGGGAATAAATGTGTGCTCCGGAGGTTTTTATCACTCTGTTTAATACCACTTAGAGTCTGGGTGCTGATAATTACCCGAGCCGGAGGCGAGGGTAATTATCAGCACCCAGACTCTAAGTGGTATTAAACAGAGTGATAAATACCGACGGAGTACATATTTATTCCCATTCATAAATACCTTTTCGGTAAAAAAAAATCATATACTTCGTTCAAAACATCCCGATTTTGTTCAACAAATTCACTTTATGCTTTTTGAAACATCCCTCCTGCAAAATAATGGAGTGTTCAGCTGGCGAGTAAGATGAAAACAACCATTTTATGGAGATTGACGCGCGCGTATCATGTTCTACGCGATGTCGCGCAGAACGCACCTGGCGCGTTGTGTTTTGAATTTAGAACTATAAAATTCTAACTCCCTGGTAGTGTTGCGCATGCCTACGTGAGGATTGTGAACGTTCAACCAATGAAACGATAAGAGGCACTGGATTTTTAGGAGTCTATATTTTATTGTGACACTGGAAAAGTGTTTAAGACCAGCTAGCCATGTCTTTATCATCCGTTTAATACCGGCCACGTGACGGGCTCTCGACCAATAGGAATGGCTAAACTGTCTGAGGTATTTATGAATGTTCTTTAAATGAGTGACACCTCTATTGCATATTTTGCAGTGAAGATCGTTCTGACTTGAATGTACATTTTGCTGTTGGAAAATTATACAAAATACTGATGATTGTCAGAACAATGATTAAATGAACAAGCTGTACGAAATGTAAAATATTGTAATAAATAGTTTGTATGGAGATGTAAATTCAAATAGTTTTATACTTTTGAATCAAGAATCAAATTATAAAATTTAATGCACAGGTACACTTAAAAGGTAAAATCACCATTTAGTTAACATGAGAAATTTCTGACATGTCTGAAATAGGACCATTCAGTGTAAGAACTTTGTATATTAAGTTTTTATAGAAAATTTGGAGGGTGTAGAAAGTAATACACAATTTTAACATCCTGTCCAGTTTTCAAAACCTTTTATTATAAAACCAAGTTTCAATTCAAACCTCAAGTTTGGCTGATGTTTGGTTCCAATCTAACAAATTAATTTCCAAGAACTACTTTTGAGTAAAAGGCCTTTTTACAAAACTTGTTTTTATGGAAATAACATGCAACCATCAATAGTGTAACCCAAAATTGTTGATAAACCTGAACTTTATAAGTTTTCATTAACCCCAACAGAACTCAACCCATCAAACCCCAACGGCATGTTTTGTTGGAATCTGGCAGGATGGGTACAGTACCCCTAAACTGACAGTCTTTTACATTGGGTTGGCACACCTCCAGAATCAAAGTCAGAAATATGTGTGTGCAGTTTCCCATATGGTGTTGGAATTTGCCAGGATGGGTATGGTTCCTAGTAAATCATGCTAGGGAGTTAGGGTTAATGTCCCCAAAAATATGATGGTTGAAAATGCCAACTATCTTTGGCCTATACTGGCATTAGAGATATTTTCATCTTTTGAGATTTTGTTAAAAGCAAAAACAACATTTTATGGTAGAAGTAGAGGTAGATATATTTTTCCTTTTTGAAATTATGTATTTTCTCAATGCAATTTTGTGTTTGAATATTTCTTTTTAAGTTGTACTTAATTTTATTATCAATTTGTTTTCCCTTGGCGGTTTCATGCTCTCATTAGTTTTTTAGTCGGTGTCCGTATAGACTCCGTGCACAAACAATAGAGGGCGCTTTATGACTACGCATTCGAAAGCCCCAGTGGGAGAGGCGCACCTCTCGCTGGTGCTGACTTGCGCATGTATGACATTAGCCTATTTGAAATATGGAGGACACAACAGGAGGGCGCTGTTTGATTTGGGTAAACTCATGTGTATTTCATAGACATCTAATCAAACCTAGACACTACCGTTTTGCTTTTACGCTGTTAGTTGTGTTGTCAAAAATAGGCCATGTCAGACAACCTGTTACGATATGTTACACAATGCGCATATGTCCTGTGGCTTCCGATGATTGCACATTGGAATGACGCACGTTTTCGTGAACGTTCTCTTGCGCATTTATGTAATGCCCACAAGATGAGCGTTCGCTCAATTGACATACTCTGTACGCGCAGCATTTTGCTAACAGTTTCTAGAGCCAATGTGGTGTCTAGGTTTTATTAGATCGTCTATGTTGTATTTATCCAAACCAAATAGGGCCCTTGAATTTGGGCGATTCACAATGCAGTGCGCCACCAAGAGTTTGCCATGGAGAGTCAACTTTTCAAGTTTACGGTCGACAAAACACGGCCCATTTGAATGAGTGTTAGTAGACAATTTGAGCTAATTTGTTATAGATTTGGGCATAGCATTCTGCCGCCTTACCAAAAATCACCATATTGATACAAATAAAAGAAAAGGGCAAACATATACTCGAATCATGTGCTTATGAAACTACTGACCGGAAAAAAACGAACAATTTCAAATGTCCTGCACTGCGAATTTGTCGACCATCTCCCACAATGCACTGGGGAAAATGAACTCTCTGTGGCAAACTCTTGGTGGCGCACTGCATTGAGAATCGCCCGAATTGAGTCCACCATATCTGAAATACACATGTAGGTTGATAAAGTTCAGACTAACTCTATTCAGATCTGCGTCGTCAGCAATGAGTTTGAATGTCCCTCCTGGTCGTCTCCCCGAACTCTCCCTTTGTAACCGTTGAGGGGGTACTTGTGCACGGAGCCCATACGCTTCACCAGTTCAAAAGTGGCAAGACTACACCGAACGATAGTTGTGTTTGTTTTAACTTCTGGTTTGTGTTAAATTGCCATATTGGACTCGGCTTGAGTTTAGGTTTACTTGAATTGTCTTGAACACATCCCAAAATAATTTGAAGGATCTTGATTTTTTCCAGTAGATGTTGGCAAAGTTAATACTGTTAGTTTTGATGAAACATTATTTTCACTCATCAGCAGAGCTGCAATTTCTGGGGGAGAGAATACAATAAAACTCCCAATGAAGTTTTAGAAAATGTTGATGTTAATCAAATTATTTTGTCAATTTTTTTAGTTACTGAACTTTTTAAAGAAATGCAACAGTAATAACGAATTGTTCAAGTACGATATAAAAGAAACTTTATTGGACACTGACATACCAGTATGAACATATATAGCAAAAACGTTATTCAGGAAGAATTTAAAACTTCACGTGTCAACTCTTGTAAATTCAAGTCGTTCTTGTACCTCTTATTTTGAAAGCATGCACAAATAATAGTTGGTTCTAAAATGTCTTTGATATAATCAGGACAGACACTGAATTAGTATAATAATATATGTACATAATATTTACATGCATAATCAGGCTTTCAAACCCAAATATCCATATTTACAGGTTGAATACCATTCATGAAATTCTAGGCACCAAATTCCGTCAACATTCAGGGTAAATATATAATGACGTTAATTAATTTAAATGTTTGCAATCAATAATTAAGGTATGTAAATTGAATTCTTGTGTTGACAGGGATCTTGGAAAAGCTGAAAAGATATCCCCCCCCCCCACCCCACTCAGAATTTTGGTCAAGTTGTAACGTGGTTAAACACAACTCGACACTTCAGCTTTCGGTCACTGGCATGCATATATATTACCCAAATTGGATGCCCCTTCTACGGCTGTGGCTAAGGAGAAGTGCATGGGCACCAGTGACAGTGAGCCATATCCACAGATAAAACAAAATGCCTGATTTGAACAAGGCTTGTTTGGTTACCGATGTCACATTATGATTTAGCTAATGTGATACCAGTTTCAATGATTGATATGTTTTACCCAACTGGGAGGTCTGTCTATGGCTATGGCTAATGACAGCTGGGCACCATTGACAGTGAGCCATAGACAATGGCAATTTGGTAATACTGATGTCATCATAATACAACCGACATGATACCAGTCAAAGATTTACAGTGCTACCCATTGTGCATTATCTGTCTAGTCTGTCTATGGCTGCGACTTCTGATAGGTGGACACCAGCTGGGGCCAATTTCACGGCGCTGCTAAGCACAAACATTTCCATAGCACAAAAAAAGTCTGGCTTATAAAAGCAAGTTATCAGCCAGAACTCCATGTGATTTTCATGCTAAGCAAACAACAGCTGAATACTAATCACGAGCTATATACATCACACAGAGTTTTGGCTGGTAACCTGCTTTTATAAGCCAGACTTTTTTGTGCTTAGCAAATTTGTGTGCTTAGCAGCGCCGTGAAATTGACCCCTGCAGTAAATGACAGCCACAGCCATACGTAAAAAACAAATTGCCTGATGAGTTGGCCAATGCAGCCAATGTGATGAATCCGGTTTTCCGATCAAATCTGTCCAGGGCTGTGGCTACTGACAGCTTGGTACCAGGGCCCAATTTCATGGCACTGCTTAACAGTTAGCAGAAAAGTTGCGCTTACTATAGCAGAAAATTGTGCTAACCTTAAGCACTATTTCATGATGTGTATGTGCTAATGGTTGCGCGTGCATGGAGATGTCCATTACATTACTGATTTAAGCAACATTTTCCGGGAGGGGGGGGAGTGTACCTTTAACTGTGCTTACTGCTTACGGTCTCCATGAAATAGAGGCTCAGTTAGCAGAAAATCGTGTTGAAAAAATGTTGCAACCTGACGCCACTTTTTTCTTCATATATCATCTGAATGAAGGTCAGTCATTGCAAAAATGATGATAAGACATGAATCTGGGACTGAGAAACATTTCCAATTTCGTAAGAAATACTTAGAAAATATTCTTGACTCTCCTTAGACTTTGTACACAACCGCTGATGTGGTGTCAGGTTGCAACATTTATTCCAATCGAGTGCTTAGCAGCACTATGAAATTGGACCCAGTATGAGAAAGAGCCACAGCCACAGACGTGGTGGTGTTGGTAATGCTGAGACGTCATCATGACTGGCTACCGATGGGTGGAAGTACAGGACTGGAGGAGAGACTAGCAGCGGGGCGTAATGCCGGCTGGGAGGTATGATCCAGCTGGCTGACACGGATCTCTCTGAAGGTAACGTTGCTGGTGGAAGAGGATTTGACGTGGGACTGCATCTCTGGGCTAGGTTTCCCTGTTGGGGACAAATGCATGGAAAAATTAGCAAGATTGTAAACTGTAACTGCTTAACTCTGCGTGTATTGTAATCCGAGACATTACACCAGCTTGAGACGACTATCCATTCTATTGGTTCCAATGTAACGTATTGTTATGGACTCCGTGCGCCAACAAAAGAGGGCGTTTTTTAACCACTTTTGAGAGCCCCTTGGACTCCGGACGCCGCGTGTCTGGCATCAACTGTTATTATCAGTACATTACAAATCAACTACACGTTGACCCACGTTCCGCGAATGAGCAAAACTGACTGACCGTGGATACAAATTGGGTTTTGATTTCTGCACCAAAACTGAGAAATAAACGGCCGCTGCAAACTGCTTACTGACAGGATTCACCCAAAAATATACAAATCATAAAAGTCAAAGCGCCTAATGTCTCAATCCTAGCAGGATATTAGTGAAATCTCGATAAGTCAAACCTCAAGGGAACAGGTTCAAAATTTGACTTAAGCAGAGTTTTGAGTTCAGCAGGGTTGTATATCATTGTAGTACTACTGAAGGCAATGGATTCTTTGACTTAACAGTTGACTTATCGAGATTTCACTGTACTTCTAAAAGGCAACCACGGTTGTGTGTCTCGATTTTCCGTTACTGCTTCAATGCCATTTTGCCTTTGAGGAACCCGCTTGGTTTAAAAACATCCGGCCTTCTGACTTCTATGACTACGCCAAAATCGTTTAACAAACCTACTTGTGGAGGTGTTTTGTTTCCGGCTGGCGGCCCGTGATTGGTCCTTCCATCCCATGTCCTCTCCCGTGTAGGTATTGGCCGGCGGGGGTCTCCGGACGCAGCGCTGACCAATCGTGGCCTTGATGTCAAAATGTTCGGGATCTTCCAGTCTCTCTTCCTGCCGGTGCTGTATGTGTTTGTGGACGATGTCCTGGGCCTGGTGAGGTTTAAAAAAATTAGTGTCGGGGATTGTTTGACTTGTGTTGGTGAAATTTGTTTGTAGACATGGAAGAAATGGTTGTTCTGCATGAAGTGAGTTTGAGTCAAGTCCTATAATCAAATCTGAAATCCAGTGAAAAGCTATTCAAATGAACTGCGACATGTTACATTCTGTTACTCATGACCATAATTTTTATTTGACTACCTCTGAACTTTGTGATTTGCCTTTCAATTATTAATCAGTTCACGTTGGATGATGTGTATACACGCAAAGGTTTTGCGGTATTCCGAACGGACGACGTATAAACACGCAACGAGCGAGACCGGAAATATCTGTCAGCGACCCGGTCTCAGCAAGCGAGGCCGGAAATATCAGGGTGTGCTACCCGCAGATGAAAGCCTTAACCCGTCTGACATCGAGGTTCCTGAAAAACAATTCCACGCCTGGGTGCGGTCAATGTCAAAATAATCACGGGTCAACTCATGCATATGCCTACTTAACAAATCCAATATGCCTTCGAGATGCCTGCCATGCAAAACGGCTGCTTGTGGAACAAAAGCACTGCACCCCTAAAATGGCCGACATGCAAAGGGACTATACCAACATACATATATGGGTGCTCTTTCTTAATTTCATCGTTGAGCGGGTTCTTATCGTGTCCGTACATCGCTATACATACCTTTTGTTGGCAGGTGATGATATTAGGCGCAGTCAGGAATTCCGTGATCTTCAGGTTGTTCTTGACCGCTGTGGATGCTGTAGATCGTGCATGCATCGGTAGCTGCAGCTGATAGGCGTGGTCTGTAAAGTCTATGTCGTGATCCAGGGCAAGTCTTTTCACTCTAAATATCATCGGAAGAAAATTTATTTGGAAGATTATATAACCTTTACTTCTGTAAAAGAAAACCAAAATTGCATGTGATTAAAGGCACATATATAGGATTATTGGCTTTTCATGCATTTTCTTCGTTTCCAATAATATCACCACTCAAAATCCAAAGAAGAAAGTTCAAAACCTAACCTGTTGAACTCTCAGCTCAGTGGATATTACACTTTTTGAGAAAACTGTGAAATACCGTGCACAAACATTTGATCACGAAGCACGATTTCGTCGATTGCGCCTTTTATTCCAAAGATCAGTCAATTGACTGATTGTTGGAAATCACCTACATTTCTTGATTTCTTCTAAATGACAGCAAGCCAGCTGAAACAATTTCACGGGGTGTTTAGTACCAGTACGATCTTTAATCCAAGTAAGCTTTTTGATAATAATTTGGTAGGTTACTTTTGGGATAAATGCAAATGATCCTATATGCCTTTAATAGGAATAAATCAAATTGGACATTTTTAGATCTGAGAGCGGTACGCTGATTTCTAAAGAGCTAAAAAAACTTAATGTTGCCAAAATGAAAAACCTTGAGACTCGTTTTGTAGGATTTATTCACAAGTCATTGTAAAAAATCTTTACAGGATTTCCATCTGGTAGGAATCTACCATAACGAGGACTTACTTCCTGTTGGTGAGCTTTGTGTACAGGTATTGTGCAAGCAGCTCTGCAGCATCTGTCTTGCAGTGCAGCGTCCCTTCAATCAACTCCTCTGGTATCTCAATGTTCCGCCGCTTGAAAAACTGTAAAAATGGAAAATAAAAAATGTATATTTTGGGACTAATTTTGGGATATTTCTCCCCAAACTACAGTTTTTGACTGATTAGTTCAGATCATTTTGTGCAAAAAGCATAGCAATGAGTGATTTCTGCACTGAAAATCAACTACCACTTTCACCGAGAGTGTTGTTAACTTAAGGGAATACAAACTGAAACTACAAAACTATTGTTACGTGCCTTAAATTTGTTTTAGTCATTTCATGAAAATTAAAAGTTCTACACCAATTCCACTCGTGCTTCATCACTAAGTGCACTTTTTTTTCAACTTTTTGTTTTTCGTTTAAAATAAATTTGGCCTGTTTATACGCATGAATTTTGAAATTTGATAAATTTGCTTTTCTTTGCAAAATTTCTCTAAACGTTACATCCATCCCACCATTTTCTGAAAGACTCCTATCCCCCAAAATAGCATAACATCAATCCATTTACCGTTTGGAGTTGTGACCAGTTTCCTAGTTTGCCCGGCAGTCCACTGCAGTTGTCGTAATTATGCATCTGGATATCCTGGGGGTAGTACCAGGAAAAGATCTCGGCCACAATGTAACCGCTGGAGAAATCTCTGCAAGTAAAGAAACACAGGGGAAAAAGTTTTATTGAATTCGGCATTAATGTAGTAAAACATCATTGAGTGAATGAACATTAAATTTTAAGAAGTAGATTAGAATTACGCTTTTAATTGGAAGAGAAATCAAATGATGTCCATGCATTATTTTGTCTATAATCATTTGGCTCCAAAACCTTTTGTCAGTTTTGGAATTAAAGATTCTCTTGAAGTGAAAGCAGAACTAAAAACAGATACTGTTTTGCAAGGAATTAAAGGTTTTTTAAAGGAATTAAAGGCTGCCCCGTACCACATGACATTTGCGCAACATTCGAAACACTTGGAAAAAACTTGATTTCATGCACACAGACAGACAAGTTTTTTTTACAAGTAAGAGTGCTTTTGTTTTGATCCATGATAAACTTATTAATGTTCGCACTGATACAAAAAAAATTAAACTTCAACCTTATTTAATTGACAGTAGGCCCTACTAATTAAGGCGACGGCGCAGCTGTCACTTGGGATCGCTTCACTTTTTTCTTTGAATTTTGGTAGTGGATATTTTGCCGGAGGTAACGCCGGCAAACTAACGTTTACTAAAGGTTTGCCGGCGGCAATCCATATCAACAGAGGGCGCTGTACTCTTTAAGATACGGCTAAATTATAACATGTATTAAATTCCCACTAAAGTTGTGCACTACAATCGGTGCAGTGGTTAAGCAATTGCTCTAGAGAGTGGGATGTCCCGAGTTCGAATCCTGATCCCCGCCACATTTTTAAGGTTTTTTTTCCCATCCCCAAATAAATAAGAATATTCTTCTTTTATTATTTTAATATGTCTCAAACATTTTATTGCAGAGTATGACTTTTTCTTTTTCAGATTTGTGGCTCTGGAGGATTTTTTTTAAAGGGAAATAAAGTCCGAAATTATAAAATGGTCTGATTCCCATCTTGTAAATACAAAGTTACAACGATAATATTGGCATGGAGCCGACTAAAATTTGTCACCGGAAAATGTTTTTAAATACAAAAAAACAGTAACTGCGCATGTTCAGTGCATATCCGGCAAACTAACGTTTACTGAAGGTTTGCCGTCTCCGGCAAAATATCCACTGCCTTGAATTTTTAATTAGCATCTTTCTCTTGTCAATTACTTAATATTGATGGATGGAAAGTGACAATATTTAGCATGGATTTTGTCTCTTGTAATTCATAATCAAGACAGAATTTTTTTGAGCGAATTCAACCTTTATTACTAGTGTCGGTCTTTTAAGTTTAATACCACATAACCAATGCACTGTTGCTGTATGGGGCGCACAAACACAAACAGCTCGCACAAACTCACCTTCGAATATTTCTGATGGGGAATGTGAGATCAAGACTCTGCAACCATTTGAACACCTCCCTCGGAAGCGCCGTCATGCTCTTTTCTTAGCACTTGCAACTTGTTAAAAGTAAAGTTAAAAGTAAAAGTCAACCAGATTTTTTAACAATTAAAATAAATATGATTTCCCGCATCGATTCTGCTCTTGATCGTCCACACACCGCCTGCATCAACTCGCAATGCAAGAGTGTTTACGCACGGTTTCCTGGTTACACAGTCAATGTGGACGACTGTTACATGTAAATTTGTCAATAACATCGAACGTTCGTTGGTTCGTACACAAGAATTGATGTAAAATCTCGACGGATGAGGGAGCTATTTAAGATTAGCAGCTACACCGCGCGCACATATTTATAAACTTTTTCGCGTGAGATGGATGTGAATAATAATTGCACCATCAGTTGCGAGAAGCGCTCTTTTGTCTAAAAATGAACACCTCTTGTGCATTTATTGCTTACGAATTAACATAGCAAAGCACACATCAAAGATGGCGCCTGAATGCAAGCGATCTATACAGCGCGCGCTGTACAAATATTTGTCCCAAATCAGCATTAAAACAATAATCTCCAATAGACCGCTTGCAGACGCGTTCGATAATCGACGCGCGAAGGCGCGCGACGCCATGTTGTGGGACAGGCGTATATCTATCCACGCACATTTTGTCCCAGAACATGGCGTCGCTCACCTTAGCGCGTCAATTATCGATCGCGTCTGCAAGCGGTCTATAGTTTCTAAATAGAAATAATAGAAATCATTGATATTCTCTTTTGTGATGAAGTATAAGTGTTAAGGAAAAGAAGAAATGGTCCGATCCAAATAATATGCCATGTCATGGATTGGCAATAATTTGAAATTCGCCTGTAATTAAACCCTTCCTTTTTAATACAATCATTAAAAGATCGAGAAACACAGCAAATAAATTTCACTGCCTGTGGTGGTTTGTACCATAATTATTTGTTAAATTGTTTTTGTTTTTTTCTGCTTTAGACTTTAATGGAATATCTTAGATCGGTGCTTCAACCAAAAGAAACCCCACACAACTAACTATAAAAAAAAAATGAGGGCGCTATTTAAGAAATCTGGAAACTTTTTCGATCTTGATTTGTTTTCTTGAGGGCGCTATATTAACATTGCTTGACGATTTAAATAGCGCCCTCAAGAAAGATTTTAATATTAATTTTTTTCCCGTAATTCTTGAATAGCGCCCTCATAAATAAAAAAAAATCGGTCAAAATTTGACCGTAATTCTTAAATAGCGCCCTCATGTCTGACTTTTTTTCATTATGTCTGCACATCAGGTCAACCTGACCATGGACAATGATGGAGGAAGGAACACATCTTACCGCTGGTCTTTCTTCACTTTTGTCTTAAACTTAAACTGGTTTGTTTCTTGGTATCCTATTCTGCGTTAATCCATGGCCAAAGTATAGGAGCAGTCTCCTGGACTGAAAAGCACTATTTATTTGGTTTTAGGTGGAAATATCCAGCTCACTAGGGGCTAGGCTTATCAGCTCAACTCATGACATGGTACTCGCATGGAGGTCTAATTCTACCTCCATGGTACTCGGGAGACTGGCGAATCTCCCAATCATTGCCCATGAGTGGCTAGCCCCATAAATGTGGCCTATTTACTGGACTGCCTCTGTAAACATAGGCCACACATCCACATGTACAAAAACGTGTCGCACTTTGCCAAATGTTGATTTTCACATTTAGGCTTAGTTTGTAGGGTTTTTTGCTTGAGAAGCATACTCACCCTTTTTATAGGCTAATCAGAAAGTGCTGCCTTTTTCAGATGTCCATTTTTCGTGAAATTTCCAGATACATTTGCACACATTTGCGTATCATTTTCAACATGAAAAAGTTTCACAAAAATTAGACATCTGAAAAAGGCAGCACTTTCTGATTAGCCTATAAAGAGGGTGAGAATGCTTCTAAAGCAAAAAAAACCTACAAAGTAAGCCTAAATGTGAAAATCAAAATTTGGCAAAGTGCGACACGTTTTTGTACATGTGGATGTGTGGCCTATGTTTACGGAGGCAGTCCAGTAAATAGGCCACATTTATGGGGCTAATGAGTGGCATGACTGAGCTAGTGTCTGTGCAGTGACTTGACTAAGCTGGATATTTCAACTAGGGAGAACTAGCATGACTAGTAGTAGTACTGTTAACCATACCAGAATTAATTTCCTTGGTTGAAATTCGGACTTGATATCCCTTTTCTAAAACTCTACCATTTGCGACGGATCAACGTACCTTGGAAATTCCTAGTTTGTGAGTAAAATCCATATCTATTTTGTGAAAATCTTGTGAAGACGTATTCATCTATAGAAATTGCCCTGTGGAGACGTATACAATCTTTTGTTCCCTTTTGTGTGCATGTCTCCAGAGGGCACGGTGTATCAGATCACATATCATGTATGTATTTATCACGTGTTTGTCATGTTTATCTGCGCTTTTCAGAGCACGAGTGAAGTCCTGGTCATCGAGGTTGTGTATGAGATGCAGGCTTCAAGAATGAACTGTGTTTAAATACATTTGGACACTTTGTAAAAAAATAAAAACTGTTGAGGAGATGGCTGGCACCAGTGGATTTGAAGCCTCGGCGGTTAGTGTGATTAAACGGGCAGTGGAGTTAGATGGCAAAGAACGCTTCACTGAAGCGTTAGTCTGCTACCAGGAAGGACTGAATCTACTCATGGAGGTCTTAAAAGGTATTACAATATTCAGTATTCTAAATTTACAAGGGCACATAACAATTCAGTGACTTTCCCGTTGGCTTTTGTGTACAAAATCACTAGAGCATATGAGTATGATAGTTGGTAGTGAGAACTGGGTGTACGTGAATTTGGGGGGGAAAAGGACATATGAAAAAAAGTTGAAGCAAGTAGGCCTACAAATTTCTGAAAATTTGGACTGCGCTTTGTTTTAAACAGTATTTTGTGTTGTACTTTTCATAACCTAGTCTACAGAATGTATGTAATAGACCCTGGCCTGGCGAAGCCAACCATGATCTATGATACATAAACAGATTCAACGGTTAATTATGCAACTAAACTGCATATGACCTCGAGAAGCTGACCAATCAGCAGGCGCCTTCTATGCGCACATACTTCGAGCTCCACTTGTGCATGAACACACGCCCACAATGAGTAGCATTTTTGGACAGGTTCTATTACGAAAACACGGCATCGAAATTGACCAATCACAATCTCAGTCTTGGTTTCTGAATGAAATGATGTCACGCATGCTTAGATATATCAGATGTTAAACAGGAGACTGGGCTGCGTGAATAACGGGTGATACTCAGACTAGATTCATAACCAGGGTATCGTGACTGAAATGTTTAGAAATAATTACATTTTTGGTTTATTCTCAGAATTAAATTATCCCAAGGTGTAGTCTCCCCTCTCCAGCATGCAAAATTAATAACAGCATTCTCTTTTCCTATGATTTTTGGCTGGCAGTGACAACAGACGACGCAAAGAAGCGAGCTTTACGCACCCGCCTGGGCGACTACATGGACAGAGCAGAGAAAATAAAGCAACACGTGGAGAAAGAAAAAGAAGGTGATTAATCCTCAGCCGATGGCGCTGTGGCACTTCCATCACCTTCCATAATTTGTGTGACCCAGGTTAAATCGTTATTGAGGCCAACACAGGGATTAGGTTTTCAGTCCCTACCTGATTTTCAGACTGGGCCCTCGAGTGCTGAAAAACATGTAAAACGAAATCAGGCCAACTTTGCTCACTCTTTGGCCGACAAAATTCTCCAAACATCTTCATGAGGCAAAGACAAGTTCCTCAGTATTTCACCAGCCAAGTTTGAAGTCTCAGTTCAATTGTTAAAGCAGACTCAATATTTTGCACCTGAGAGGGAAGTCAAGTGATATCAACTTGAGGCCAAAGACTAGACTGGTGCATGTCCAACTGTTTGAAAAAGACTGACTTCTTCAGTAGTCTGGTGGCAGACTATGGAGAGGTGTGTAGAAATAGAGACCGGTACCAAATGTTCCTTTTGGCACAGTTGATTGATGCAGTACTGAAGGGTTGTTGGACTGGTTGTTTCGTGTGCCAGTCTTTTTTCTTGTGTTGCATGTTTTCAGTACCTTATGTTTTGGAACTCTCATACACAGTATTAAGAGTTCCATATTTTCACTAGTTTTGTACATGTACTTTTATTTCCCGGCCCTTTTCACATTGTGACCGAAGTTTCGAACCCTATTGTGAAGACCATTTAATTTGCAAATGAATTTGGGAAAACCCTTTAAGAAATAATTAACTGAGCACTCTTGCATTCCAGCTGGCAAATACCACGAACAAATCCACATAGCGGCAGACTCCACCCACAACAGCTACAGCCGAACCTTCGGCCGTTTCCTAGACGAGTTTGTGACGGAGGTCCACGTTGAGGATCCTTACATCCGGAATCCTCACCAGTGTTACAACTTCCTGAGGCTGTGCGAACTCCTTCTTGGGGGCAAGACAAAAGTCAAGAGGATAAGCTTGCTGACGGGACAAGACCAGGTGAGCAAAGACACTGGAGGTTGGATACACAGTTCATTCCCTGCATAAGACAAAATTGCTCGAGCAGATACAGCGGCTCAACGTATGTGGAAAGTTTGAGGTCATTGGTGTAAATAAAAGTGATAAGTAGGAAGGTTTCTTTCTTGTCGATTGCAGGGAACGGCGCAACAGCAAGAGGCAAGATTTGAGGAGTTGAAAAGAAGCCTGGCCGAGTATAGTGTAACGTTAGATATCAGTTACTCATCGACGCTACACGACAGAGAGATCAGGTATAGCACAGGTTCCTTGTGACCTCTAAGAACTTTTTTGGGGTAAAGTTCTCAAAACAATTATCCACTTACTATACACCAAGAAAGTGTGATGTCATCTCCTCCCCAGGTGGCGAATTTTTTTTCTCCCAAACGACATCCGCGTACGTGGTTGTTTAGCGCCCTCTACGATACTTTTATGATACGCACGCAGGTATATCATAATTTGTTTCCCCATCTTTTGGCGAGCAGTGCCACAGCTCAGTCGGTCTAGGGTAAGATTTTGCACCGCGAGGTTGCGGGTTCGAATCTCTCGGCTTAGCACCCGAATTTTTTTCCTTTTCTAACCCGAGGCTTTGGAGGATTTTTTTTTAAAGGGAAATAAAGTCCGAATTTCATAACGTTCAAATTCACTTTTTTTTTTCTAATTTTATATTTTCTTATCATGTTTTTTTATAAAAGTTAAGTTCAAAACGCCATAGCGTACACCCATATGTGGATGTCGTTTGGGAGAAAAAATTCGCTCGTAAGTCACGCTCAGTTCCTCGACCACGGTTCAAGCACATTCATTAACGACACATTACACGTACGTTTAACACACACGATCACATTTTACATCCTGCTTTTATAGAACATTTTTCACAAATTAATACCTGCAATGGTTCACTGTCTTTCAGCAGATTTGTCAGTTACAACCACAGGCGTGCTTATTTTAACGGATTCACAACAGCCATAGCAAAACGACGGCGTTCACTGGGCCGTTGCAGTGCACGTCAACCAGTAATCATGGTTGCACCGAGTTGACCTCTGAATGACGTCACAACTCGTTAGTGAAAAGGACTTATGATCCAAGTAAAATTATGACAAGTAAAAGTTACCACTGCTCTACCTTGATTCTGTGTTTCTTTTCACCTTTTTTTTTGTCTTGGAAAATTTATTCAGATTAAACAACGGTTGGATAATCAAGATCGGTCGAGGTCTCGACTACTTCAAGAACACGGGCAAGTTCAGCATCGGTTTCTGCGACATGGACCTGCGCAAATGCCACGAGACAACGGTCGACATCTTCCATTCCAAACACACCACGAAGAAATGATACTGGCCGGAAACAAATGCAGATAATAAATTTATCCTCTTTGTTTTGTTTTCAACTGATGCAATATTAAGAAACAAAGAAACACAAAACTTGCCCATAAATCTGCTCCCTGCTCTCCCTCACTTCAAACTTAAAGTTATAAGCTCCCAGATTTGCAGTCTAGTCAAGTGAACCCTCCAGGGCCAAATTTCATAGAGCTGCTTAAGCACAAAATTTGCTTAAGCACGAAAAAAACAGTGCTTAGTAAAATAAGGTTACCGGCCAAAACTCCATGCGATGTACATTGCTTGTGACTGGTATTTTTACGGTTGTTTACTTAGCATAACAATCGCATGGAGTTTTGGCCGGTAACCTGATTTTATTAAGAAAGACGTTTTTGTGCTTAAGCAAATTTTGTGCTTAAGCAGCTCTATGAAATTGTCCCCTGCTATTTAAGCAGTCACAGACAGTCAAAATTCACTTTCACTTCCCCTGCTATACTTTTAGCAAAGGCTAGTCACCAGCAGTCAGATCATATGTCCAGCAAGCACTGTGACTAGTCAAAATCTAGTTAGTGAATTAGGGGTGTTTTTGTTTTAATTTTCAGATTTGTAAACTTTGATATGTCTACTACGCATATTTTAAAGAACTAGTATATAAATTGTGGACTTGAAAGTGTCTTTAAGGAACTTTGAAGGCCTTTTTCTCAGATTTGTACTCTTTTGACATGTTGATAAATGCGAATCAATTAACAGAATGTTCGATTGAATTTGAAGTACAACAAACAGTACTGTAAGGGGGAGAATTTTATTCGCTTTCCTAAGGCCAAAAAAAAAGTCTCCGGTTTCTGGTATGGAGCTTGCCCAAAAAGTGGTGCGGCGACGCAGCTTTTTTTTTTTTTTAACTGTTTTTTTTTGCTTCAAATGTCGGCTGATGACTGCAAATGGTGCCCGACTAAACTTAGTGCAAATATTATGGGAGACCAGAGAGGCCACATAAAGCTTATTCTCGATCATAACCCCATCTAAAAACACGTTAAAATAGTGCAGCAGCAGGATTCCAGTCAAACCAGTGAGTTTGGCGGTTTTGAGACATCATCTTTCATTGAAGAAAAAACTTTTTCATTTTGCCGACTCGCATGGCTACGGCAACGTGCGCGCATACCAGAAACCGAAGACTTTTTTTTTTGGCCTAATACCCGCATTTCCTCATTTTGACCTCTGCCCAGTTCTGTCTCATTTTGCCAGAACCAGTCACATTTTGTAGCCTTTGGACTTCATATCGTAATCCTTGTAGTCCATGGACTTTCAAAAGATTGAAGTTTTTTGTATGTCAATGTACAGAAGTTTTTTTTATCTGAAATATATTATTATGCTTCTGAAGCTGGTATAATTAATCTATGTGATTTCTGAATAGTTTATTTTAAGCAACTTTTGAGTACTTCTGCTGGTACATGGTGTGTTCTGCAGAGTGGTTCAGTATAGTATGGTATATCACTTTTGATAAATCATTCTAATAAGACATGTATTTTACCATCATTAAAAAACATTAAACTGTTGTAAATGCTATCGTACGAAGTAATAAAAGTATAACAAATTTCAAATTTACAAATATCTTGCCGCATCCTTTTTGACATTCCAATAAAACATGTGTCCACTTACTTTACTTGTAGGTAAATTTATTACATCATGTGATATGTACCTCTGTGTTTGGACAATCTAAGTTGCACTTGAGATCATTTTTGTTGAAAGAAAGTGCTCATAATTTTGCTAACTTTACAGATGAGCAATGCATTACTTGAATCCATAATGGTGGAACTTTATGTTTGAAGCGCAAAGGAAGATACAACATTTGCAAACATAAAAAACGAAATCATCAAATTATCACGAAATACCTTACTGGATTGTTAGGGAATGACAGTCTAAAGCATCCTGTAAAATCGTGGCTCCTGATGTGCTGACATTTTCAAGAAAAAAATGTATTTTTCCAAAGCTGATCGGTCGACCAGTGTTGGAGAAAACTGACTTTTTTCAAAAACTGCTACTAATTGTTCACATTTAGTTATTCCGCATTTTCTTTGCAATTGATTACACACCTGTGAAGGGGTTCAAGCCTGCTGGACTGATTCTCTGACCTTACAATTCCCTAAAGTCTATAAATTGCTCCGTTTCATCTAAAGTGGGGTCAGGGAACCAAACTGCAAGAATATAATTGGTTTTCTTGGTTTTTCCAGCATCTACAAGCCCAAAACGTGAAGCCAGTTTAACAATATTTGTTATAACATGCTAATCCTCCAAATCCATTTACTTCTGAAAATTGCAGCAAAAGCAAATGTTGTACATTCCCTTTAAGACTCGGTAGCAAGACTCTCAGTAAAGCTGTTTTATTTTTGTTGGCAACTAAAAAAAACCTGGCAGAAAAAGGTGCTCTTTTAAATCCTCTTTGACCCTTTGCAAATGTATGCAATATTTAAAAAGTTCAGATTTTGTTGTGTTCATGAAATTCAATCTACTACAGGGCCAGTCAAAAAAAGCAGAACCCAAAACAAAGAAATATATTTTATATAAAAAACTATGTAGCACCAAAATTAATTATGACATGGAAGCCCTTTTATTAAACTTCCTTTAAGTGAGGAAATTATTTCAATTGCTCTTCGCGTTAACATTTTATCACTGTTTAAACGAAGTAACCCTGGAATCAGTTTCATCCAAACAACAATTTATTGTGAGTTCTGACTGTTCTGGAACAATAAAGAAGATGACACAGAACACTTGTTTCAACAACTGTAGTACACGATATCTTTATTAACAACCCTGCTTTGGCTAACAATAGAATTTATAAAATCCAATTCTTCTTTTTTAAAAGACGGGCCTTTAATAGCGAAAGACTTTGTTGAATAGTTTTAACTTATAAACTGAGATGTTATCACTGGTGATGTTTGAAGACAATTGTAATGTCAATTCTTGAAATTACATTTTTGGATGAAACAGATTTCAGGGTCATTTCGTTTAAATGGTGATATAATATAAAGGGATTGAGCAATTGAAGTAATCGTTTTTCACCTGAAAGTAGTGGATTAAATTGGCTTACTAGTCATAATTATTTTTGGTGCTACATTTTTTTTAAAATATGAAAAATATTTCTTTGGGTTTGGGTTCCCCTGTTTTTGACCCACCCTGTAGCTTTATCAATATTTCTTGTGTTGTATAGTTTCCTGTGTACGTGTCAAGTTTAAACTGGTTCTCGGTACCTCCGTTATCGGTTGGGCTTCTGGATTAAATGTATTACCGTTTATGTTGATATTTTTATTTATTGGGGCGGGAACCGGTTATCCCATCCCGTTTATAGTTTGCAAGTTTCTCAAGGGGGCGTGGCCGCGGTGGCATCTACCGACCTTTCAGCCTTTCGCCGCCAGAGGGCGCTGCAAAAATTTCCACATTGGATTATTGGTTATTTCGTGGATGTACGCTAACGGGTAAATTCGTCAATGTAAATCGATTAAAAAGACCACATTAGCGGTAAGTGAGACCGTAATTTCATGACATTTCGAAAATTGTGTCTTGTGTTCACCATTTGTTTGTTAATATTCAGGTCTGTGACTTCACTTAGGTTCGTTTCAGCTACGTGAAAAATATGATGTCTGAACCTTGCGAGCTTTTTGCGCAGGCAAAGAGCATACGTGCACGAGTGGATTTGTGCCGTGTTTTACTGCTCGATCAATGGCGCTGTAGGCCTAGGCCTACATGCGTCTGCAAACGGGTGCAACTTTGCTTCATAATTTGAACTTCACTTCACACATTCATGTATTGTAAGTTGGCCTAGTAAATGAATGTACAGATGATTAGATTAGATGATTAGTAAAATTTTTGCTAGTTGTTGTCGGTGCTTTGCAAAATTTGTACAAATAAGAAGGATACAAAAAAAAACAATTTAAAACAAATTCAGGACTGAAAAAATTTGAAAGACATTTCAAATTTCATACGCCGGCATTAGGCCTACCGGAAAGCACTGGAAATCAACTCGCAGTGTGTAGTTGTTTTCCTGTGTTTTCTGGTGTTTTTTTGGGTTGCTTTCCAGTGTGTTCCGGTGTTTCCTTAGTAATGTTTTCTGGTTGATTTCTGGTTGTTTTCCTGTTATTTTCCGGTTGTTTTCTGGTGTTTTCCAGTTAATAATATGGCGATCGTGTAAAGGTTCGGTTCCCTATATAAGGGAACAAAATCCACTTTTAAATTATTTAAAATCATAATTTCTACCCAAAGAAACTGTTCAAAATTACAAAAGGTTTCATTAGAATTGAGAGAAGTCTGTTCTAGGTTGAAAAGTTCATTTTTGAGTAATGAATAACACCCTTGACTCCAATTTCATCAAAACTAAACAGGGGCCCTACACATGTACACTGCACAATTGCCAATAATATTACCCAATTATATTTGATCTACAAAAAACAATGTTTACAAATGATAAGCCTTATATCAGTACATTGGCAATATTGCACATGTACATTCAAGTTATAAATACAGCCTTTCTTGAGACCAAAAACATTTTGCAGGCCAACTTGAATTTTGTTTGAATTAGGCCGATTATTTTCATGTTTCTTTGCATTTCACTACATGATCATACGTGTACATGTACATGTTGGTTTACATCATACATGTACTGTAGTTTCCCAATATAATTGTATGACTATCTTGTATCTTGTATCTTGTGTTTTTTGTGTGTGTTCTTTAATTTTCAGCAATGAATGGATTGGGGGGGGGGGGGTTAGTATATAGCAAAGGTTGTTACATGTACACTGACTTGTTTGAAGTTTTGTGTTCATAATCATAGATGCTTGAAAAACCAAGAAAAACAATCATGTTCCTGTAGTCTGGTTCCCTGACCCCACGTAAAATGAAACTGACAAATTTATAGATGTCTGGGAATATTAAGGTCAGGGAACCAGTCTATCTGGCTTGTACCCGTTCATGTGTGTAATCGATTGCAAACAAAATGCGGACTAACTACATGTAAATGGTAAATTGGGGGCAGTTTTTTTTAAAAAGCCAGTTTTTTTCTAACGCTGATCGGCCGACCAGGGTTGGAAATTGATACAAAAATACCACTTTTCTTGAAAATTATAGCACACCAGGTGCCATGATTTTACAGGATGCTTTAGACTATCATTCAATAACACTAACAGTCTAGTAAGGTATATTCATAATAATTTGGTAGTTCTATAATCTACCTGTATTTCAGTCCTTCATAAATTGGACCTCCCATTGCAAGTTAATATTCCCAAAGCAAACTTGAGGATCAATACAATGGGAAAAAAATTACAAAAACAAAATAGTGTTGTATTTTTTTAAAAAGCTGAAAATTTGTTCCTGGTTTTAATTAATTGGATTGGATGCTGTTTCCACACTGCAATGGCACTCAATAGTTTGGTCGTCAAACTGTCGAGTTGGATGCCATACAGCATTATGAGGCTCTACTAGTATTAGTTCACAGTGTTTTATGCATACGTGTACGTGTGTAACCCAATTCTGCTGCTCAGAGCTGCACTTTAATGTGGATTTTGCACCCCCTTGAAGCGATTTGTGTTTGCTGTTCTTTGTTAGCACAGTTTCTAATCAACACAGAAATTGGCAAAGTTCATTCATTTACATGTATCGCAGGTACCGGTACCGTACCTAGTACACCATTGGTTGATACATGTACATGTCCATGTACATTTACATACATAATGTATACTCAAACTTCTACAGTACATGTATTTTTGGAGAAAGATGCATGCTGGATACATGAAACTTACTGGCATATTTAACAAGGTTAACAGTTCTTCAGTCTCCTGACGATTTAACCAGGTTAACAGTTCTTCAGTCTCCTGACGATGACTAGAGCAGGCTAGTCGAAACGTTGAGACCAAAGACAAGTTCGTTTAGAACTTACAGCAGGACTGTTCTTATCAGAACAAAAAACTACTTAGCAAAGTTGATAATAAGCAGGACAAGTTCTTTTCAGAACAAATATCTTCTAAGCAGTAGTTATTACCACATGGTGTTACCGCAAACCGAAACGATACAGGTTAACAGTTAATTTACATTTTAGTTTTATGTACACGTACATGTATATAATTTTTGTTTCATTGCCAGTTTGCAGTTTCCCAAAAATCTTTTAGCTCCTTAGTGTCGGAAAATGATTTTTCAACATACCCAGTTTTCACATCAAAATGGCAACATTTCAGAAGGAACAGTTTTATTTTTAGTCTGTCAATACATACAATACGGAATTACAGATGTACATGTGCGTACATGTACCCCAGCATTGCTTTAAGCATCATGTGTACATGTTTATTTAACCTCAGATCCTACAGTACCTAAAATGTAACTTGCCAAGTTTGATGTTCAATGTATTGCACTGTTATGCATAAAGACCTTGACTACACGTACATTGTAAGTTGTCATATTTCATGAACACATGTAGGTAAGTTGCAGTTTACACAATGTAAAATTTTGAACTCTCTGCAGTTTCCTATGAATTTTGTGCATTCAACAGTGGCATCACGTGTACATCACAGTAAATTCTACTTGTTAATTTGGGCCGATGCAGAAAAGGATGCACTAATGCAATGCATGCACAATGTACGCATGACCCCATTCACTGAGGACACGATACTGTACATGTACAGTGTACATTGTATGTACATGTACATACAAATGTATGTATGTGTGTACACGTATGTACATGTACAATGTACAAAATGTACATGTATGAGTGTACATGTACATTATGTAGGCAACACACATTTCCCTCTCTTGAAGACGTCATCAGTTGGAGCTGCTAAAACTGTGAATGGTCGCATATTTCCTCCGCGGAAACGATTTGTGGTATGCACACAGCTGGAGGCGCTGCCAGCGCTATTCCGGGCAGAAAGGGATGCCTGTGCAGCAGATCTTATGGATCACTTACAAACATTTCTGAAACCCTCTAGCGGAGGCAGGCTGGATGCCCACAATGGGAGCAGGATCGAATGATTTCCCTTTTCTCTGTAGGACGTCAGCTTCATGTAGCTCACGCAGTTGTCTATGTGCACTTCATGCGCATACAGACATGTACCGGTATAATTGTTATTAGTCCCTCGACTGTAGAATTTGGACAGAACAAAACAAAATTCCTCTTTTGGAAAAATTGAGATTGCGAAACTAATTTACTAAAGTTACATGTACATGTACATGTAGCTAACCCCCTAGGGCCTCTGTGCTAAGAACCATCCAAAATCTTCCAAAATTTTGCACTCAATGTACAAATGGAGGATACCCAGCGCCTCAATCCTTCTAAATCCTCAGACAGTCCTGCCTCAAAAATGCATTCATCCTCAATCCTCCAAAATCATCTTCTTCTTCAAACATGATCCTCAATCTTCCCAAATCTCATGTGCTAAAACACCATTCATCCTCAATCCTCCAAAATCCTCATGTTTCTCAAACACCATTCATCCTCAATCCTCCAGAATCCTCCAAAAGTGCCATGAGGATTTTGGAGGATTGAGGTGAGTTAGGGACAGTTAGCTAATCCTTCACTTGTAGAGATACCGGCCGGTAGTGCAGTGGGCATGTGTGTTTTATGTACAAAACATTAGATATACTCCAATCCGTACAAATTGTATCTATTTCACGCATTGTTTAAAATTGTGATGATTTTGCTGATGCAGCAGAATTGTTTCGCAGAACAGTTGGTTATAAAGCCTTTTATGTACACATGATATTGAAAACACGATGAAACATGAAACTGTTTTGGGATTATGTTGCAATTTTGTGTCTGGAATATGTTACGGTTAAAATGATATCAGATATTTATAAAAGGAAGACAGATTTTTTTTAAACAGGAAATTGTTACAAGTTGTTCCTGGCAAGCATTCATATGGCCATCAAACATATATTATGAACATTTCTTTTGGATGGGTGGCTATTGCTCATAAAAAAAACCTACGCAATTACGTATAATCTGCAGGCCTGCACATTGACGAACATGCGGTAGCTAATCATGAGAATGTCACGGTGTACATGTGTGTATCATGTTTTATAGAAAAACAATTTGTTACATAAGTATACTTATGTACATGTATATAACTAGCCAAGCTTAGAAACGGTCATTTTACATTGTCTTGTGTCTTAAATTGTCAGATGCACATTTGTACATTGGATGATTGGATACAAAAGTAAAAATAAGAATATTGTAATCTTGTGCAGATCTATCATTTTCCTTCATGGTGCAGTCATGCAAGGTGTATAGACTGTACACGTACTTATATGTATCGTAATGTTAGTTTCTACAAGGTACCGGTACAATATGCATCTCCCACTCCCAGCAAGGGTGTATAAACATGTACATGTACATGTACATGTACATGTACATGTACATGTACATCATGTACAAATGTACATCAATTCTTTCATGTACAAATTAGGCTACTGTACAGGTTGCACATTGAACTACATGTACATGTACTGAATGTACACAATGTACACATGTACTGAAT